AGTGCTGGGATGTTACGCTTAACAGGTTACAGCGAGTCTACCAGAGCGAGTCTACGAGTCGTTTCACGGCAATAAGGGTTCCAACATGCAGAGTATGTGGGGCAGCTCGATACTGTGGCCGCGCTCACCCTTCTCAAAGCTTGGCTTCTGGGTTGGCGAAATGCCAATTTGAGTGCTCTGGACTTCCCCCCAAACAGTGAGTCAACACTCAGGGCAGCCAACGTCTAGAGCAAATAGGAGGGGCTAGATCGGATAGTACATGCGGCACGCGCGCCCCCCGTGTGCTTTTTCCCGAAGCTTGCACGAATTTGGGATGAACATCGCACTCTCGCCTAGGCGAGGGCGTTGCGACGCTCGTTGTGCTCGAAATTTCATCGTTTTGGACTTCAGTGCTCGCGAAATGCGAAATGGTAATCGTCGTCGTCGACGTCGTCGTCGTGGCTTTTGGACATCTGCGCTCGCGAATTGCGGAACTCTCATCTTTTGGACATTGGGTTCGGGGCTCGCAGGGGCTCACATGGTCTCTCAAGATTTGGGGTCTATGCTGGCAGTTTTTGAGTACAGGAAAGTGAGTTGAATGAGATGCTATTCTTTCATGTCGCAGTGTAATGGTAGCGGAGGGAGGACTCGTGTTCTAATGGCAGGTCTCCGCAAACCCATTCATTGCATGCTTTTGCAGTGGCTCCTTGATAGTTTGACGAAAGTTGCCTGATGCGCTCCGGTTGCTCAAAGAGCAAGAGCTTGCAGTCTCCATGAGTAAAAAACGCAGTCATGTGGGTTGTTGTTTGCAGTTTACAGTGGCTGGGCATAAACTTTAAACGAATCAGTGAAGACCCTCCTGGTGCTAGCAGTACACACATGTGTCATTTCACATCTTCGTCTTTCGTGATTTCAGCTTCGTGAGCGATGCGCCATCCAATGAGCTGTCGTTGGATGCGGCCTTAGGGGTGTGCTCCCAGAGCCCCGCTCTCACACGGGCCGTGAATGAGAAAGGCCAGGATCTAAATCAAAGGGTCTCAGCACTTGAGATCAAAAGGGGGTCAGCTCCCAAAATGTCTTAGAAAACCTGTTTTGCACAGTCTGGCTGATGCGGAGGCCTCAGCTGGTACAGGACGAGGTTCTTCGAGCTCCAGCTCAGCAGGCATGTTGGGACTTTTGGGATATATTGTTTGTCCAGACACCCAGACTGCTCGTTGAAAGGTGTTCCACGTCACCTAGTATGGGGACGACCAGAGCTTGAAAGTTCCAGTTCGGCCGGGGTCTTTCAGCATTCGTTTGCTGGATTGCAGTGGCAGCAGAGCTTGCAGAGTGGCCTATACGAAGCTCTCCAATTGCCGGGGGGTGCAACAATATGGGGACTGGAGCCTCCTGGGGCCCGATGTCTTCCTCTTTCGACTTGCAGCGCCTACAAGCTTTGCCTCTCTCGCACCTCTCTTGTAACTTGCTCGCAAGCTGCGCATTCTGGTGACTTTGACACTGTGATTGATTCCTGTGCTCCCGGCTGCCAGCAACATACAGATCGCACAGTCCTCCATCATTGTTTGCCCTCTTGAAACTTGAAGGCTTGTGATACCTTGTGGGGCCACTTATGATGTTGACTCGGCATGAGCTTGGAACCTCATTAGGAACAGGGAGAAGCTGAGAAGCAATGCATCTGCCAGCCTGGTATCGCCTTTGTGATGTCGGGAAGCATGTTCAAGCCTTCAGACAGATGGGCTTGTTGATCTTTCTCCTTTTTTGTGTGTCGTGATCGTGCAGTCAACACCCTGAGCGATCAATTCGAAGACGTGTACTTTTGTTTTCCCATTTGGTTTTCATTTATGCCCTTGTTTTGATGTTTCTATGTTTACCAATGGACAAACTACTTCGGGGTGATTGCGTTGGGAGTATGGGCTACGAAATCGATGACCCTTGCGGTGGTTGTTGTGGCCGGATGCTCTCGCCTAGGTGCCATGCGCAAGTCGCGAACGATGGCGACCCGCTCGCTGTTTCCGAATTTCCGGTCTTGCCTAGGCGATGCGCGCATTTCAGGCCCCCCCGCAAACATCGAGAGTGCTCCCAAGCATCATGCTTTTGACATCACGGAGGGTGCCAACTTGCGCTCTCGCCTAGAACCATGCGCGATTCAGAAACTGGACGCGATTCAAGAAACCAGGGTTCAGGAAACCAGGATTCAGGAAACTGCGCGATTCAGGAAACCAGGATTCAGGAAACCACGCGATTCAGGAAACTGCGCGATTCAGGAAACTGTTTTCCCGCGATTCAGGAAACCGCGGTTCAGGAAACCACAAGATTCAGGAAACTGAAAACACGCGATTCAGGAAACCGCGCGATTCAGGAAACTGACAGCACGCGATTCAGGAAACTGCGCGATTCAGGAAACTGCGCGATTCAGGAAACTGCGCGATTCAGGAAACCAGCGGATTCAGGAAACCACGCGATTCAGGAAACTGCTCGATTCAGGAAACTGCGCGATTCAGGAAACTGCACGATTCAGGAAACTGCGCGATTCAGGAAACCACGCGATTCAGGAAACCATGCGATTCAGGAAACCGCGCGATTCGGGCCTGTTGAAATGTGGGGGGCTGCTTTGTGACACTAACCGTTGAAGCGCATTGGGCTCCAGCAGCCATTCAAGCAACAGCATTGGGCTCCAGCCTGTTGAAACTGGGTCTCGGGGGGGGGATGATAGCGTCAAGGACAAGGCTGCTTTGTGACACTAACCATTCAAGCGCATTGGGCTCCAGCAGCCATTCAAGCAACAGCATTGGGCTCCAGCCTGTTGAAACTGGGTCTCGGCGGGGGGGGGGATGATAGCGTCCAGGACAAGGCTGCTTTGTGACACTAACCATTCAAGCGCATTGGGCTCCAGCAGCCATTCAAGCAACAGCATTGGGCTCCAGCCTGTTGAAACTGGGTCTCGGGGGGGGGGGGGATGATAGCGTCCAGGACAAGGCTGCTTTGTGACACTAACCATTCAAGCAACTCCAATTCGCGGTTTCCGAATCCGCGTTTTCCAGTTTCCTGAATCAGCTGGTTTCCGAATCCGCGTTTTCCAGTTTCCTGAATCAGCTGGTTTCCGAATCCGCGTTTTCCAGTTTCCTGAATCAGCTGGTTTCCGAATCCGCGTTTTCCAGTTTCCTGAATCAGCTGGTTTCCGAATCCGCGTTTTCCAGTTTCCTGAATCAGCTGGTTTCCGAATCCGCGTTTTCCAGTTTCCTGAATCAGCTGGTTTCCGAATCCGCGTTTTCCAGTTTCCTGAATCAGCTGGTTTCCGAATCCGCGTTTTCCAGTTTCCTGAATCAGCTGGTTTCCGAATCCGCGTTTTCCAGTTTCCTGAATCAGCGGTTTCCAGTTTCCGAATCCGCGTTTTCCAGTTTCCCGAATCAGCTGGTTTCCGAATCCACGTTTTCCAGTTTCCTGAATCAGCTGGTTTCTCGAATCCTGGTTTCCCGAATCCGCGTTTTCAGTTTCCGAATCCGCGTTTTGTAGTTTCCAGAATCAGGGTTTTCCAGTTTCCGAATCCGGCGCGTTTCCAGTTTCCGAATCCGCGGCTGACCGTCATAGGTCTTGTGCGCATGTCGTACTTGAAGCCGTGCCCTTGCAGTGGTCCTGATCCGTTTCGCGAAAACGTAGCAGGGACGGACGGCGCTTTCATGCATGCTGAGCTCTTGGATGGTGTGGCTTCGTGCGATGCTCGTGGAGTGTCCTTAAAGTGTGACGTGGCGTTTGGGGGTCTCTGCCGGCATAATTTCGCTTCCCAGTTCTGAGACTATGTTCAACCCAGACAGCGCTGCCCATGCTTCGCAGCAGGATCAAAGGTGTGCCGCATTTCCCGGGTGTCTGACTTTCAGGCTTCAGTGAAGGACCCAGTATGCAGTCTTTGACGAGGCACCCATACATTCCTGCCTGCTTGTTTAGCAGCACGCATTTTTCCCAAAAACGCCGAAATGCGAAAGCTCGATGTTTGCGACAGTTGAAGTTCTGATTTAGACGAGGGGAGGGCTTTCTTGAGAACCGCGCAGATTTGAAAACTGATTTTGATGCGCTGAACTGACTTGCCATGCCATGCCCAGGCACGTAGTCACGACATAGTCATGTTGGACTGAAAGATTCGAGCTTTTCGGTTGAGTCTTCGGCGTGTCGTCGAGTTCTATGGCATGCCCATTGCATGCCCGATGGCGCGGAAGATATTTGTTTTGGGAACATTCAGTGTTTTTGTCTTTAATGTTCTCTCCTTCAGGGAGAAGACCTCTTCAGCCCATATGAAGACAAGGATCGAAGGCGCGCCAGCACTTTGCACTTTTCACTCTCCATTTCGTGACAAGTCCGGCTTGTGCTGTAAGGATGGGCCACGGGTTTGCAGCTAGGCAGGGCGCCGGGATTTGAGCGGACTGGCATGGATTTTCATTGCAGTTCAGCATCGCATCTTAACCCCAAACGCAGGAAGGCTCGGAACGAGCTCGTGTAGGCAAAGGTGATTCGTGACAACCTGGCACGCACCAGGAATACCCAGCTGGAGCAGCAGATGCAGGAACAGATGCAGGAGCATGGCGATACTTCCAATCCTTCCAATCCTTCCAGCTCCGTATCTTGTCATCATGCATCATCGTAGCTTCGTGGCTTCGGATTTTGAAGGTGCAAGCTTTGGAGATTTTGGGTTCAAAGCTTGCCAGACAGCCTCGTGTTTAGGGCAGTTGGAGATGGTTTTGTGTCATTTCAGGCAGGCTCTGTTCTGTGTTCTGTGTTCTGTGTTCTGTGTTCTGTGTGTGTGTGTGTTTGTACCAAGACGAGCAGCTCGGACACCAAGAAGTCTGGCAAGGACTCCGCGAAGGACTCCGGGCACTGACATGGGAAGTGTCCGAGAGCCTGAGAGTCCGTGGAACGGAGCCAGGACGGGTCTTCCATGCCGGCTTCGTCGGCCAAGGCAGCCAGAAAGCATCGGAAAGCAGCTCATAGCAAGACGGAGTAAGTCTTGTCATCTTTTGGACGTTGACCAGGTGTATGTGAAGGATTTCTATGCGAAGTTGAAGGAAGTCGCAAAGCACACATCTCCCAGCAACAGGCCGCTCCCAAGACTCACTTGCGGCGACTTCTCTAGAAAGCATTGCGCGAGGTACTGGTTCTGACAGTGATGTGTGGTGCAAGCGGTTGATGTTTTTTGGAAACGGCTGAGTTCTTGCGATGGGCCGGAGGTTTAGGCTTGACTTTTCACTTTGGCTTTTGCTTTGGCTGGCGTGTGAGCCACGATCTGATAATTCAGAGCTATGGTACTTCCAACAGCTCGAAATCCTTCCAAACGAGTTGCAAGCGACAAGTTTCGGTGAGTGCGCGTTTTGTCGGCCCAAGGGGCCAAGCCATGATGGGGGTCTGGGGTGGGACTTGATCCGAACATGTGACTCGTTTGCCCTGCAGTCGTAGCATGTTCTGCATGTTATCTTTGGTTCCTCCCTATGGTCACGTCTGCGGCTTTGCAATGGCAACCTGAAGGTCTATGTATCTTCATGTCATGTAGGTCGTGTCATCGGTCCATGCGGCTTGGCGTCGCATACATGACAAAAGGGGGTAACAGCACAAGTTTTTTGAAGCTGCCCCAGCGTGTGCGTCCCTAGCAGCTGGTCTTCTGGTCCACGCGTAGAGCGAAATTTTGACTCAAGTCTACACGCAGCGAGACCTTCTTGTCTCTTCACACTTTGCCCTAAAGGGGCTGCAATTGCGAGGACAGCCTGGGACGCCGATGAGGTGGCAGAACTGGCAAGGCTTCTCGACGACGAGGTCCGCAGAGTCAGCACCCTGTTGGACTGGGAAAAGGGATCTGAGCAGCTGCAGGCTGACGACGAAGACAGAGCCGAAGAAGAGGAAGATGATGATGACGAAGATGAGCCCGACGGCACCGTTCTAAGTGAGGTTGCGACGATCAATTCTCACGATTGTTGGCCACTCCATCAACTTGAATCGCTGCAGGTGAGTGGTCGGTGGGATCCGAGAACCACGCGACAGGGCAGTGCAGGATTGCCCAAGTTGGCTTGGATCATCTCGGATCACGAGTTGAGTGCGAGGACAAAACAAATCAACAAAACACGGCAGGAGGAACGGGGGAGAAACAAAGAGGAACGGGGAGGAACAGCGAGGAAGGAGAAGGAATGACGAGAGCGAGGAGGAGGGAGGACATACTGTGAAGTGCGTCACGTTAGCCGCTTTAATTAGATAGCTTTCGCAATGCTGCCCTTATACAGTCGTGTCGGTACATAGAACCGCTGGAATCAAGAGATGTGGAAAGCAGATACTGGCATCTTCGAGGTGGCCTTGCCATCGCCTTGCCATCACACAACTGCAGCGTGGGCAAAGGGCCCAAGAGCAAGCAAACCCAAGGCTTTGGATATGTGCCCTAGACCATTGACAAGTACAACGCACTTTACTTGACCGATACCTCGCAAAACGCCGATCCAAGTGCACGCTTTCGCGTAGTACTCGGCAAAAATCGCTAAAGCATGACTAAAACTGATTTGGGAAGCAGTGCGCTCTGAACCCTGATGGCATTGACGGGCTGTATCGGGCTGTCCTGCAACATTGATTTGTGGTCGCTTATGGCATGAAGGGCTGAAGGGTCTTTCGTGCCTGAAGGCCCTGCCATTACGTATGCACCTCAGAGTCTTCTTTCCGAAAGTGTTTTCCCTCATATACCGTCGGTCTTCCTATCTGTGCAGGTCTTCTCGAAAACTGGCTGCACAAATGGTACAGCGCAAGACCCTCAGATCTCCGAATGCACGCAGGATCTCAGAGAGTTGCGGAGTTTGTGGTTTGGTGGTATCCTGCAAGTGAGACATTCAGTATGGTGGACACATGAGGGAATGAGTTTCGTTGAAGCAGATTCGGGCAGACGCCAAAAGAAGTAGCCTCATTTTGGTTGTCCAGAAGATGCACCATGCAACCTGGGCAATCAAGGTGTACATTCTGTCATTTGCCACATCCGAAAAGGTTCAGGCCAAGACCCTGCAAGCCCGCATCCCAAGCGACTTCGATGTTCCTGCATGTGGCATGTGCGGATATGTGTGGGCTCGGGGCTTCCATGGACTCCCTATAATCTCCTTCGTACGAAGGAGGAAGACTTATCTTGCCTATGTTCAGGTCCAAACGCCACAAGTGTAAGCGCTTGGCGGCCGTCCTGGACAAGGCACAGTGCTTCAGGTGTTGTCGTTCCGTATCGTCTCAGCACGAGTTAGATGTGGTGCTGCCGGCGGGCCCCTTGACGCAGGTGCGGTAGTCCCCCTGCCCCCGGCCATCCCACCCGCAACGTGGCACCACTCACTGTGCCAGTCGCGCCATGGCAGGTTGCGGCGAAAGAGCTGGTGGCCCCCCCTGAAAGAAAGGTGGAAACATAAGGGGCTTCACCCTACTGGTAGCCTTGCGCCTGGCTCCTCACAATACGGGCGTACGAGCCGTGAGGGCTTGACTTGGGAGTTGAAGTCTGGGGGGGGGGAACCCACCAGCATTAGTGCGCAAAACGGCGGCTAACTGCCCTGTCGGAAGCGACATCGTGAAACAAAGTCAAATTCAGTTGCGGGTTGCGCATGCTTTTGTCGGGGCCTCATGTAAGACCGGTAAGTAGGGATAAGCGTACCACGGAGCGTTGGTGATGAGGGGGACCTGTGAAGAGGACGTAGAGGCAAACCGTGCAATTCCAACTCCAGAGCCGCACTTGGGAGCAACTAGCGCGAGAGGGCCGCGGGCAGCACGGCGAAGGGCAAAGTGGCCGTTCCGGGTGCCGGTAGGGGTCTGGGGGATGCATGGTTGTTGGAGCCACCTTGGACAAGGAAACGTTCTGAGATGGAAGCCCAGAAGAAGCTAGGAATAGGTGGGCGCTGTACAACACGCCCAACACTGACATAGAGACCCCTAAAGCCCTACAAGGCGCAAGCCAGGGGAACAAGAGGAGGGGCAGCTGTCGCAACCGAGGGGGACGGAGGAACGAGCGAAAATTACTGGGGTATGCACGTGAGCTAAGATTGTTCCGCGTGCACCATGAAGTAGCGATCGTGCGGCAGTGTTGGAGGTTGGGGATTGACGAGCCGATGAGCCCTCTCCATTGGCCATCCGTTTCGACCGAAGGTCGCTCGATGTCGCTCGTGGATAGTCCGCTGAGGCGAAGTGAAAATAGGAGGCTTCACTTGATTTCACTTGGGCACTGCATCCCCTTGTTCCCAGGTCACTGTGCCGTAAGCGCATGATGTGGGACGAGTGGCTGGGACAAACGAACCAATGTCAAGTCGAGTAGGGGTAGCTCGGCGGCCCTGTAAGACGCCCTGCCCGGATAGGAACGGTTGGAGTTCTCAGTTGCCAGCTCGTATATATATATATATGTATATGTATATGAGAAAGATGAGAACAGGAGGCCTCACTCTTCGCACGCGGGGCAGTGCATTACATGCCCCATCATGCCCTCAAGCCTTGCTTCCCACATTCCGGGCCTGCCGAGATGCTTTTTGAAACAAAAGGCCAGTGGGCTTGCGGCGGATTGCAGCGGTCTGACAATTGTCAAGTTGCCGAGTTTTAGCACAGGTGTTGGATGATGACCCTGACGCATTTCAGAACGTGGTGGATCAGCTTAGTGCCCAAGGCGAGTCTCCACAAACATCTCCCTGGGATCTGTCGGAACAAGTCAAGTTTGAGTTTGGTAATGTTTTTTCTCAATACTTTGCAACGATGAGCGTTTCAGGTGGATACCTGAACACAGTGGTCAAAAGCAAGGTAAGAAGCCTTCAGCAGAAGGCTCAGGCCGGAACCTTGTGTTCACATTCCCACTACGCAGTTTTCAAGCGCGCACGCTGCCAGGGTTCAGAACAGCCACAGGACGCACGGCGTGTGCTGAAGCCAGGATTAGTATCTTTGTGAGCCCCACCGGGTTACAGCTTTCCCCATCGACGCGGTCTGCCTAGAGCAGTTCCCGTAGCGGTGCTCGCAGGCTTGAACAGCGTGACCCGGGCATCCTGAAACCGATACGCATGGAAACCCATGGTATGTCGTCTGGTAAAATGCTTCAGGTTGTGGGATGACCGGGCGAATTTTTCAACGCTCGGTTTCTTTCAGGAAGCATGAAATCGAACGTGCTTTGCCAGCATGTCGAAGGCCATCGCTGGTTTACATGTCCTAGACTCCTGGGTTCTGGCGAGAGGGGCCTCGATTCAGGCGAAGTTCGTTGTGCCGAATTGTGTCAGCCTCCCCTACATTGTAGATCGAGCTCGTGACAGGTCACGAGCTCTGCAGCTCATGCTTTAGGCACTGCAGCTGCATAGCTTTGTAACTGGGACCACATATTATGACTTGCGACTCCGTGAAAGGTGTCACAAAGCAGCTCTTGCACCGGCTGCGTCCCACTCTGTGAAGTCTTGTCGTTCTTGTAGAACCTTCACTCTACTTTCCTGCGCCACTGAAGCCGTTGCAACACAGTCTCCGGTGTGTGCGCGCGCATGTATGTATGTATGTCTGTCTGTCTGTCTGTCTGTCTGTCTGTCTGTCTGTATGTATGTATGTATGTATGTATGTATGTATGTATGTATGTGTGTGTGTGTGTCACGAAAGCTCGCAGTTTGGATCCCGTTCGTGTACTGAAGGACACCTTGTTCCAATCACTGCAATCCAATGCGTTAGATAATGTTCCACATTGGCGTGAGTTCTCTCACCGTAGTACTCAGTAGCATCAAATCATGTCAAGTCCATAGGGCAAGATGGGCCAAGGCCAGTTACAAACGTACGGTCGCCGTGCGTAATGTTGCGATACTATGGTAGGGAGTCACGCGTGCCCACCCCCATAAATCTCACATGTATAGTGATTAGTTACATATAAGCTAGATAACGAGCACATACGAGCACTTCTAGCCACTATTCTGCTTCATTTGTTCGCCGCCTCTGCTGATCGCCATGTCGTGGTTTCGCCCGGAGGCGACTGCCGCGCCTGCTGCGCCACTCCGTCACATGCCGTCTTGCTACACCTTATCTACACCTTCAAACCCCTTTTTAAGCCCTGAGAGGCCAGTGGGGGCAGCGGATCCTCTTCGAGCTCCAACCGCTTCGGGCGGGTTTTTTCAGACCTGGCACCTTGGATAACCTTGGAGATCTTGGCCAGTATCAGCACACATTCATGAACATGTCATGGAGCACGCTCCAGACAGACTAAGTCAGAATATCAATGAGTAACTCTTGGCCGGGCTACGGCAGCCTGGGTGATTGGAGCTGAGTCCGCGTGGAGTTCTCAAGTGCTGGCCGGCTTGCATGAATTTGCATCAGGTCAGGATGTTGGTGGACACAGCTCTCAAACGCTTAAACGCTTGAACCACTCTTGAGATCTACAGACCGCCTCCATGAAAAATGTTTCTACGACTTCGGAAGCTCTTTTTGCCCTTCAACTTGTAGGTTGGTTGGGAAGGGGCTGTTGAAGCATGAACATGATGTATGTCTGCCTGTAGCTGCAGGCCCGAGCAGGGTGCCCCCTCAGCTACAGGTTTAGTTTCCTTTCCCGCCCACCCGCCCTGCTGCAATTACCGTTGTTGCTTCAGTTTTGGGTCTTTGCTTTCCATTTCTGGAAAGGGGAGGGTTCCAGAGGCCACTAATGTAGCTGTGCTTTGTACCCCATGAGTATCCACTCCGGGGTTGAAGCTTAGGTGACAATCCTTGCACCTCTGAACCCAGTGTCTTTGACCCTGGCCCATCTTTCACACCATCGGCATTGATCATCTCAACATGTTCTGAGGGCGTGTCCTGAGAATTGCTCGGGGCAAGACTTGGCCCAGACATTTCGCGAGCCTGTAGTTGAAACATGTTGAAACTGTTTTCCAAATGCGACCCGACAATGAGAATCTGTCTGTCCTTCAGTGATTTTGTGCCTTTGGATTCCTTTTGGAATGCTTTTGGAATGCTGGCTTGGACAGTAAAGACCAAAACAGTGGCTTAGGGTGGTTTTCAGAAAGAGCACGTTCTTGCAGGTTCAGCTTGTTTGGAGCAACCAAGCATGGTTTTAGGTGGAAACTTGCATCACCTCCACAGGATCTCTGTCGGATTTGAGGCCAGCGCAGGGCGGGAAGTTCGACGAGTTGCCCAAGAGACACGAGAGTCAAGCTTGCAATAAGACTGCACTGTCCGCATGGCTGCTTCCACCTTTGTTCTGGCACCGCCGTTCGATGCTGCTTCCACGAGCTTAGGATGCCATGGTGCTTCTACGCCACACAGCCAAGCATGGCGAGCAGGTCAAGAAAGCTGTGTGTTAAATGCTACGGTCGGGAAGTCGGGAAGGGTCTGGAGGGGTTCTGGCCGAATGTCCGAGGGGAGCTGGGTTTTTTCGCATCTTTTGGAGGCCGGAGCCGGCTACTTCCCCGAAGCCGCTGAAGCACTCTCCGATGGTTCCTCCGTGCAATCTGTGCAGGTCGAGGTGATTGCAGCCGCAGATTTATCCATGGGCTCCAAGTCACTTCCCGTGCCGTATTGCGCCCTCGCCACAGGATATCGAGGTCAACCTTGGGCAGCTAAAGCCGCTGGAAAAGCAGAGTGTATCACCCCCCCTGCACTTCGCCAAAGGAACCCTCGCTGGAATGCGCTTTGCAAGCTCCGACTCCCAAAAGCTTATGTGTCACCTTCTCGCGTGGAGTTCAGCAAAGACGAGGCTGCGCCACAGGAGGTGGAGCTTTCTGTGCGAGTCATGGATGCGGGAGGCCTGCGAGGTGACAGGATGGCCGGAGAGGCCCGTATTCCCCTGAGCGGCAGCTGCGGCGCCGGGACCTTTCGCCTTTTGGGTGGAGGCTATGCTAGCCTCTCCGTCCGCTGGTCGTGTCCCAGTGAGTTTAGAGAGGAGGAGGAAGAGTTGGAGACATTCAGGGCAAAATCGTTCGAAGAGGCCGTGCAGTTCTGGTCAAAGCAGGACTTGGCCACGTGTGCAGGAATTGCACGGGCTCAAAGGGAATTCCAGGCAAAGCTTCAGACAGCCCCGGATTGGTGCAACGAGCTCTTGCTCCAGACGCCTTTGTGTCTCGACCAAAAAAGGATAGTGTGTTCAGAGGCTAAAGCGACCTGCCTCTGTACTCGTCTCTTCTAGTTTCGAGGTCATTGCTCTTGTCTGACACTGACGGAGCAGATGGGGCGCCCTCCCAGCTGTACTCAGGTGGTACTGTGGCATGCAGTCGCACTGCAAAGCGTGAACATGGGCTATGTCGTAAGAAGCCGTCATGCAACTGCATTCTCTTGCCAGGCAGCCAGGCACTCCTTCGAGTCCTATCTGAACATTTGCAGTCGCACAATCTCTCCGCACTGGCCAGCAGCCGGCTCATAGGCTCTCGGTAGCTGTGAGCTTCTCACTTGTTCTCGATTGCTGTTGATTCTCTTTGAGTCTCTTTGAACCTCTGCTTCTTGTCTTGTGCGCTTTAGCCAAGCACCGTGGCGAGGCGCTCTCGTGGAGAAGCTCTCGATTCCTCGTGGCCTTTCGGTCATGTAGTGGGCAGTGTTGGATGTTGTCGGATGTTTTGCAATTTCAACGTATGTCTATGTCTGATGCCAACGTTACTGAGACAATGAGACAGTGAGACATGCTGCTATCCCATGTTGCCAGGTCCGGGCGGTCTGGGGCCAGGTCCGGATGGTTTGGACCCCGAGGCTGCAGAACACCTCGCTGTACAAGAGGCTAGGGATGGAACGTGAACTTGTGGAAGGGATGGGAAAGGAGGAGCTGCAGAGCGTCCTTGACTCCTTTCTGCAAAGGCCATCTTATGTAAGATCTTCCTTCGAACCGAGGGCAAGGACTGATCTCATAATAACCCTTTTGCGACGCTGCTATGCCATTGCTCTGTGCATCCCATGCTATCCCATGCTATCCCATGCTCACAATTGCTCACAGTGAAAGCAGCTTTTTCATTTTTGGTCCGAAGGAGCTTCTGGAGCTGAAGCGTCTAGGCGAGGCCCATGTTTGCTTCCGTTCTCCCAAAAGCTGCTCCGAGCGTGTCACGTGCCAACGTCCAGGGTAACGCAGGGGGGTTGAGCGCAGTGCGGCACATGCGGAGGGCTCGCACTGCACGACGCAATGAATGAATGAGAGAGAAAGAGAAGTGGGCAGAGCATATTTAAACAAACAGAGAGTGGCGTGTGGCGGGTGGGGGCGGCCGTGACGAGGGTGGGGTGCACCCTCGCCTCGCTTTTTTGTTTTTTTGGTTCTGTCTCAGGGCCCAGTCAGCGCCTCTGTTCTTCATCCCTCCCTCGCATGTCTGTCTCCCTTTCTCTGTCTCTTTGAAAATGTGTTTTTTAGCTTAGCAGCTCTGAGAGACAACTATGTTTTCTGCCTCTTTCTTGCCTCTGCTGGAGTTGTGAGTGATCTTGGAAGTGTGCTTTTGGACTGTCCCGGGTCATTGTGGAGTGCTCTGCCTTGTGCCTTATGCGCCGTTTTGGGTCTACCTCGGCAATCTATTTTGGCACAGTTGGCCATTCGCTACTTCTGAACATTTTCATCACCGCTATCGCACTGACATGTTTACCAGCCACTGCCAAGTCGATGCTGCTGGCGGCGGCCGCGACCTTCGCCACACCATCTACTCGGTGATATCAGACCAGGCGCAAGGATATGCAAAGGAGATGCCAAGGATGTGCAAGCTCCCATGTTTGACGTTGCTGACCATAGCTGATCTTTATTTCGAGCAGGTCAGGCGAGAGTCGCTACTTCAGCACTTTGTTGATCAAGTTGCGGATCTGAACTGCTTGCCGGTGCACATCTTGTCTGACATTGACATGACGGTTTGGGTTGGAACGTTTGGAGCAGGTCCGGGTGAAAGCTGGCTACCGCAGAACGTACAAGGTCATGCAAACCATCGCAAGACGACACACATATGCGTGCTACACCCCCCCCTCCTTCCCCCCGCCTGCCCCCTTTTGCTCTCCCTCCTGCTCACCTCTCACTATATTCCGCAAGTCATAATTGCCAAGCCCTTAGCGGGGTGATCCCAAAACTGAGTCACTAACTCTAACTCCTAAAGAGTAATGAGCTTTCTGTGCCCCCCTCGAGGCTTAGAACCTATGATTCGCTACATCCTAAACTAATCGGGCATCCTGCTCATTAGGATGTCGCGAAAAGGATTTAGGGAACTGGATTCTTCCCTAAGTCCGAGAGACTAAACAGAATAATTTTATTGCCTTTTTGTTGTACTTCCTAAAGCGGAGTGTCCACGGATGAGCAAAGCTAAATCATGTTGGCCAAGCCTAGAGTGAGGGGATTGCAAATCTTAGTCCCAAAATCCTATTGTCTAAACCTGAAAAATGAGGGATAAATCCCTAAATCTCTAAGCCCCTAAATCCCTAAATCCCTAAATCCCTAAATCCCTAAATCCCTAAATCCCTAAATCCCTAAATCCCTAAATCCCTAAAGTCCTAAATCCCTAAATCCCTAAATCCCTAAATCCCTAATTCCCTAAATCCCTAAATCCCTAAATCCCTAAATCCCTAAATCCATCCCTAAATCCCTAAATCCCTAAATCCCTAAATCCCTAAATCCCTAAATCCCTAAAGTCCTAAATCCCTAAATCCCTAAATCCCTAAGAGGAGTTTTTTTAGCACCAGAATAAGGGGGGTCATGAGAATCCTAAAGAGGAGAAGTGTTTACAATTTCTGTGTTTTTCCATTGTGTTTCTTCGCCCGTCGTACTTGCCGCGGCCGAGTACAGGGTGTGAGTCCCCCTCCCCCTAGATGAATACCCCCGTTTGGGTTTAAGATTTAGGGTTTGGGGTCTTAGGGTTCAGGGTTTAGGTTCCCCGCCCCCTCGTGGTGTTGTTGTGGGTTGGTTTTCGGGTAGAGGGTTTTGGGTTTGGGTGTAGAGTTTAGGGTTTACGGTTGAGGGTTTAGGATAGGGTTTAGGGTTTAGGGTTAGGGTTAAGAAGACTCAGGAATCTCGCTCGATTTAAGGGCTCTCCTAGAGGCTCTCTTCTGTAGAATTTAAGGACACCCCTTTTTCGGGCTTCGGGGAAAAGGGCGTAGGTAGCAAAATCAAGCGAATAAGATTTAGCGAACAAGATTTGGGGATCCCGCTCTTTAGGACTTAGTGACAAGGACTTAGGTTTTAGTCGGGGAATGGGTTTGGGAGTAAGATTAAAAGAAAACGTTTTTTAGGATTTGCGGGCTTTCCCAGGGGTTCTCCTCTTGAGGACTTGAGGGCCATACAAAAGCTGCAAGGCGCATCGAAGACGGGGTTTTGAATTTGAGTCGTCGAGTGAAATTTGAATCGGGCCTCTGAGTGAAGATTGAAGATCCTACATATGGCACATGTGTGTATATGTAAATAGAAATATATATATATATATATACATATATGTATGTATAATATATGAGGCGTATCGTATGTAGCAATCGAGATAATATGTCAGGCGTATAGCATCCAGCAATCTAAACCTGCAACCCCTGAATCATTTAGACCCTTGCTAGGATATATATATATATATATGTATATATGTATGTATATATATATATATGTATTCAATTATAGATACATGCAAAAATGCATAAGTATCAACATATTTGTATGTGGTTGCGCCCCGGCCCACCCCACCCCTCCCCCTAGCAAGGTGCTCCCCACTCCCCCCTGTGGTGTGGTTGTGGGTTGGTTTAGGGTTTAGGGTTACCCAGGTTTAGGGTTGAGGGTTTGGGGTTCAGGGTCTTAGGGTTCAGGGTTTAGGGTTTCCCCACCCCATCGCCCCGTGGTGTGGTTGTGGGTTGGTTTTAGGGTTTAGGGCCAGTTTAGGGTTTAGGGTTACGGTTTGGGTTTAGAGTTTAGGGTTTAGGTTTTTTTGAGCGAGACCGTGCACCGGCGGGGGGGGGGGCGAGAAAGCAGAGTGCACAAGCACATAAAATGGTCTCACATCCCCCACCTCCCTTCAGGATCCCTGGCCCTAAGCGTGACACAGAAGGCCCACCGACGCACCAGCTCGCAAGCCGCAAAGAAGGAGAAGAAGAAAGCGCAGATCGAGGGTCGAATTGGCATCGGTGCCGGGGTCCGTGCGCGAGTTGGACAAATGCTCGAACACAATGTCAAGGTCGACATGAGTTGGGTGGAAGTAAAGAAGCGCGGACTTAAGATAGTGAAGTGTCGGTGGGTAGCTGGTTGGAAGGCGCTGCCGGACGACCTCGAGGGCGTTCGTTCAAGATGCAGGAGATCAGCGCACACCGTCGTGGGGATGTCTCCTCGGGCACTCCACTTCTCAAAGGGCGCTGGGGACAAGGAGAAGCGAAGCTGAGAATCGTAGGATATCGTAGGTTTGTTGGCCGATACGATGTGTCAGTCGCCTTCTTTCATGCGGACTCGACGGCCAGCGGTCCGACTGCGCGACGACACAGAATGAAACCCATGCCAAAAACACCTGTGTCTTACCATATGTAGACCCAAGCTCGCAGCCGACTTTCTTGACCTTTGCAATGCAAACCAGCCCAACGCTAAACTCAAACCCAAAGACCTGATAATGCAAATCGGAATCCATTGTAAAGTCGCTATTCCCTTTGATCCGATTAACAGCAATCGCAACCAGCTAGGCAATCCGAAGTCGTAACCCCATGGTGTCCCAGCCTTTTGATGAAAACCATTCGAACAGTAACTTGAAACGCGCAGAATTCAGTCAAACTCCTGAGAAGCTGGAGGTTACTGTGCCGGGATGTTTTGTTTTTAATTTGAACTCTTGGTCAACCCGAGGCTCGGAAATTGAAGATTGCCGGAACGACTTCCCAGGATTCTTGTCCCGAACTTTCGCGAATTAACACACAGACGTCTTTCTTTCATGTCATGTTTATGTTTGCGTGCTGACCAAAAAACAAGCAATACGAAAGGAAAGTGGGTCGTCAGAGGTTGAGGTAGGTTAGGGTTTTTATTGTTAGTATCACCAAAGGACACTTTTTTTCTACACACACAGATATCTGGTAAGAAGCCACAAGCAAAAACAATATATATATATATATATGTATGTGCATATATATATATATATATATATATATTTATGCGTATATATATATATATATGTATCCATATATACACACACTTGCCAACAGTAGTATGAACCCTACCTCCTATGCAAACATGGTCTGTCGACTCGGCTGACCCTTTTTATGCGAGTTATGATGCGATACCCCTAGATTCACCCAGCATCGCCTGCTTGCCGGCTGCATCGCAATGGTTGCAGGTGGACCAAAGTTTCCAGCTGGTCCAGTCCCTGGTGCGCTTCCGCTATTCACTGCCTTGGGTGGGCGCGTGACTTTCCTCTCAGCAAGACCACCGATCTGGGAGGGCCAGACAAGGCTGTCAAAACAGAAAACGCTCGTTTACTCTCGAAGCTTCAGGATAAAGTCGTCCAGCGGCACTCAGCTTTTCATGTATTCGACATCTTCATGTCGTACTCCTGTAGGCGGTTGTTGGTCGACGACATCGGCATCGCGGAGGCAGTGGTGCTGCCCGGTTCCCTGAAGGCCGTTGCCCAGGTGCTCTTTGCGCCAGAGCAGGCTCGGCAAGCCATGGCGGAACGCAAGACGGAGGTCTTCGGGCAGTTCGCCACACTGCATCCCGAAGCCCTCTTCGTCTTTATCGGGGACAGCGGTGAGGGGGATGTCGACTTCGCCGAGGAGTTCATGGCAGTTGAATGGGCAGAAAGGGCTGGCGGGTGCGGCGGGCTCCCTGCACGCCGAGCAGCTCTGATCCATGACGTGGTGAGGTGCGGCATCTTGAAACGCATCTTTTTCGCTTTTTTTAGGATTCGGGCACGTTGTCCTTTTATCTTTTTGCTTTGTCTCCCTCTCTCTCTCTCTCAGGTCCGATGGTGTTGTGCCGAAAAGCTCTAATGAACGCAGAGCAGATCTTCACCTACGCGGCATCCATGTCTTTGACACCTATGCAGGTGCATGTCCTCATGCGGGTGGTGGGTTCGCTCTTGCTTTGCTTGGCACTGTCTCGGCTCGGCGGTCCAGGTGCTGCCCTGGAGCTTTTTCGTCAGGGCTTGTTGGACATGGAGGCCAGATTTGACATCCTGAGAATGACGCACACCCGCACCCAACTTGCTATGCCGCTTTCCACTTGCCAGGGGCTCCGTTGTGCTACGCACGGTTGCCTGGAGGAGTTTGCAGAGATCAACCCAGATGAATTTGCCTCTGTAGAGGAACCCGGGCAGGGGCACTAACACTGTGGCAATCACGTCCAAAGCATCACTCAGCGTCACTGTTTTAGGTATGTACAAAAGGAACAATGATGCATCCGGAGGGTTGTGGACATTGCCGCGTTCAGCAGCTTGAATGGCAGGTCTTTGAGACTCGTCGCATGGAGCTGCTGCGCGATGTCAGAGAGGTTAACGCAGCCCTTCGCATAGCCGGTTCAGCTGCCACCACTGCCCCACTTCACACAGCGCCGGGCCTAGCAGGGCCTAGCTGCCGGTAGCCAGAGTTTTCAGCATGCTGCGCCGCAGTAGAGCAGAGCTCAGAAGAGACCTGCTTTTTCCGCACTGGAGGCCGGAACGGAAGAGAAAGAAGATAAAGAAGGAGGCAGTTTCGAGGAGGAGCTGTTTCAAGATGTTACACGCTTGGAAAAATCGACATGTTCCAGCCACGCTAGGAGGTTTTTGAAGCTTTTCAATAGCGGATGAAAGAAGCCACCGCACGTTGAGACCTTCCAAGCCCGCGACTCGTGGATTTCGTGTTTGTCCCATACACCTGAGCACGTAAATGTTACACTGCTTGTAATATGTAGGGGCCCCCCCCTCCCCAACAATTTGGACCCTCTATAAGCCTGTGGCGCGTCGACCCCCCCAAACAAATTGGGGGGGGGGGGGGGGCAACCGCCCTCAGGGCCTCAAACCTTTGGAAACCTTAAGGCCTGAAGCTTTCCAGCCTTTAAGATTCCTGGAGCCTAAGGCCCTCAGGGCCTAAGGCCCTCAGGGCCTCAAGCCTGACTGCGTAAGCCCTCAGCCCTAAACACAAACCCTTAAAACAGACAAGCATCCGGGAAAAAGACTGTGTATTATCGAGGGCTGCGCATCACGAAATTTGTTTGGGGCCTCGTTTCGTAATGACATGCCATAGGGCTTTACATGGAACTGTCCGGGCTTACTTTTCTGGATTCTCAGGGCTCTGGCTCCATCATACAGCTCCGCCATCGTGGTGACAGTATCATCGACTATCATCGACTACCACATCTGGTCGTCCCAAACTGGAACGCATCATGTAGGACCGCATCGTATTTGACTTGTGAGTGGGGAGCTCTTTCAGTTCAGTGAGCGCCTTGTAAGGGGTGGACGGGGGCAATATGCAAAAGTCCGACTCACTTTCAAAAAACAAGCACAAACCCTTAAACAAAAACAACCGTCCGGAAAAAATGTGGTAATAGCGGGTACCCCAAACAAGCAGAATGAATTTTGGAAACTTGTGATTATAGACCCTCCTTACATTATTAAAGACCACCTGAAAGGTGGCCTCACAAAACTGAGACAGAACACGCTGTTTGTTGTCAAAGAACTGGACTGTCGGAGTCAAACAACTGGCTCGGTCGGCACAGGTGTGTTTTCGAACATGCCCATCTGCGAGATTCTAGATCATCTGCAACTTAGGGTGGGTAGTCGAACACAGCTATGGCACTGTACATTGTGCACGTGTCTGCTTGCTTTCAATGCGCGATCATGATTTGTGCAGGAGAAGGTCATTTCTACGTCGGTCAATGTTGAAGTTGTGCAGCATGGAGATCTTCAGCAGCCACCAGACGTTGTGGAGGCAGATGGTTTCTCAACGATACGCGTAGGTTTCGTTGACTTTCTTCAGTTCATAAATACGTTGTGACAACAGAGCAGCCTGCCGAACGCAAGGAGACGTCGCATGCGATTGCTTGTGGGCTGATGCCAAAACGCACAACACCAGAAGTGGCTCGCACGAACATTTTAGGAGGCTCACTGAAATCAAACTTGGTTTTTATAATTATATCGAACAAGAAGCGCCGAAAATGAACAGGATCCTTAAGGGCGCCACAATCAAGAGCCTGTTCGAGCACGCAGGTGCACGTTCCAGGTGCTTGCCTTGGGACGTTTCACGGTGCAGGCTTACATTTCATTCTGACGACAACGAAACAGGTCTATTGGGGGGCATACTCATAAGCATCCTTCTCCTCGTCATCAGCAGCATCATGAGAGATGGTTTGCCAGCACGTTCTGGGGTGAAATAGAGGCCTGGTGATGCTCACGGGGCTGCTGCGTTGTGAAACACAGCAGCGCTCTTAGACGAATTGCTGTCACCGCGTCGCACCCCTTAATCCGTGCTGTGATTCCCCGCGGACGCATACATTGAGTAATTAGGTGACGGTGTTCAGATTCTGTGTAGTGCGTGTAGTGCACATACTCGTGCCAGACCTTAGTGAAAAGACGTGCCGGAGATGAGGGGTTCTATGGTCAATTGTGCGGGGTGGTGGGAGGACGATTGGCAACCGAGTCGTTGGGATGTTGGTGGGCGACAAGGTGGTTCAAGCATTGATTGGGGTGACATGGAGATTGGCAGCAGGGTCAGCGGAGAAGGGACAGCGGCGCACACACCGGATCGTAAAAGATGTTGATTGTTCAAGTATGTTCAAGTGATTCAAGTGAAAGTTGTTAAGAAGCGTGTTCAGTTTGCCTCCAGGAGATGCCTGCCTCAACTTCCGAAGCTCACGACGCCGCCTAGACTGTGAAGTCCATCGTGTCCGATTCCAAATCAGGCATGCCGGTATTCCTACCTGCTATGGCATTCCTGGGTGCAATTCCTCGAGCCCGCACGAGCTGATGTGAGTTCCTCTGGCGCCAACGAAGAATTTGCAGATTACGGAGAGCCCCATTTGCGTCCGACACCCTGGTGACCCGAGTGTGCACGGCATCATTCCAACGCGGCACCATCATGCGAAACAAGTGCTGAACTGTGCCCAACTTGCGGTTGACTGCCAGCTCAGCCACCCTGCCCTGTGACAAAAAGGCGGCTGGTTCTTAGCTGTGTTTTGGATTAGCTTCGTCGGTTGCACTTGCACTTCTTTTGGGAGAGTAGAATAGGCATCCATGACCACCAGGGTTTTGGCATTGTGAGTCGCTAGGTGTCTCTACGTACAATGTGGCGGACGCATACTTTCTTTCCACTCCGGGTCTGTTCTCAAGGGGGTTTTTGTACCTCACTGTGTTCCAAATGGCGGTCTCGCCTCAATCTCCCATACGCATTTAGCACTTTGCGACGTGGTGGGGTCGGGGGTGGGGGGATGGGGTTGGTTACGTCATTTTTTGGCCGAAACATCGGAATTTGCAGCATTTTTTGGTCGTCTGGTGAACTTGTCTCAGCACTGCGGTGCCCTGCAAAGATTGCAGAATTGCCTCGACGTTCTGAATCCGTACGTTTCCATCGTCTCACATGGCCGTTTGCAGTTTGACAGTTTGACAGTGGCGAAGCAGCGGCGAGGGCTTTTTTGAACATGATTTCGCAAATGTTTGGTGGGGAGCTTTTCGGTAGATTGGTCCACTTCTTGCCGCGTTAGGCCCCATGAATTTGGAACATGCTTGAAAAGGCTCGCTGCAACAAGGTGCTGGCCAAGAGCTACATTCACGGATGTATGTCCAAGAAGAGACAGAATTTTTTTCAACTTGCAATTGCCGTCGCCCGGGATCAAGTCACAAGCGCTTTCTGCGAAGAGAGCCGCAAACATGAGCAACATGGATGCACTTTCTATGCACTTGTTGGTCGAGTCCACAACAACACTGTTGCTCCAAGCCCAGGTGCAGGCTATGGCACTGCATCTGGCCACCTCGGCATGTAAAACGCATGTAAAATGCTTGCAATATGCATCTGCAATGCCTGGGAACATCTCGGGCGCCACTGTTGATTGCAGGAGCTGGCGCTTTGTCCAAAAGCATCGCCGTGCTTGCTGGAGATGGTATCGGCCCAGAAGTGATGACTGAAGCTGTCAAGGCCTGTGTCGAATGCTGCTTTACTGCGTGGCGCTGTCGACATCAACGGAACAAGATCATTCCCGGAAACATTTTTCTCGGCAGGACTCTAAAACAATTAGAGCCATGTTGACCGTGTTGACCTTTTACTCAAACGTGTTACAACATGCTGCAACATGCTACAACATGTTGCAGCAGCCACAGATGTTCCCAGTCATTGCCGCATTTGACTCGGTGGCATGCTGTAATTCATGACTGCGACAAGCCGGAGAGCACTAACCTCCACACATCACAAGTGATGGGCACAGATCCTTTCGTTGCTACTTTAGTTTTGCTGTTGTCAGAAGAAGAACCATCAATCGCCGCACACCACTGCTTCGTCTCTAGGAGCTAAACCTGAACCTCGCGAAACAAGGGTCAATTGTCAAGGTACGAACGAAATGAACGAAGTAAATCGGCGGGCAAAAAGGAAGTCATTAATACGCCCGCCATAAGAAGAGAATAATACACGGGCCTTTACATAACATTCATACTGGCCCGTACATTTATTGGTTTAGAAAGAGCGTCCGTGAGCCCCGCGAACAAGGAAGCGCCCATGCATTCATTGAGAATACAATTATAGCGGCCCTATTAAAATATGCTGGGGGCCGCACTACGCTCATACATTTCATGCTGCATTTCGTGCTTCATTTTATTCATTACAAATGCAGCATTAAATGTACTCACTTCGTACTATTAATCTCTTCATAATTCCTGTCTTCACTTCGTTCATATTTTAATTGGGGATTTCGTGCTTCCAATCACTAATGACAAGCTGCAGCAATCGCCTTTAAACCCCAGAAAAGGTTGAGCAGTAAAACACATGTTGTTTGGGTTTTTCTTTGTTAGGCTCGATATGAGTGCCTCTTGCCAATTTTGACAAGCGCGGGCAACCAAAGAACACCAAACCAAAGAATGCCAAGGCGTTCCGCACGCACGCAGACATGATCTTTTCAAACATGGCGCAGGCACACGAAATACGCAGTGTGCCTTTCCAAGGTTTGGGTGCAATAGGCCTCGGAAGAAAGGTGAAAGTCCACCGGCATGAGCTGTTACATTGTTGCCCTTGCTCTGCACTCGAGAGCTGGCAAGTCCATTTTCAGCCATTTTCAGCCTTCTATACCTGCAGCCGCTCGTTGGTGAGAAAGCATCTGAAAGGCCTCAGCAAGGACCGCGCCGCAACCCGGACAAAAAAAGAGGCTAAATTGACTAGCTTGACTCGCTTGTGCTATCACATGTCATGCCATCGCACGCTGCCATGGGCAATCGTACAGGTGTGCCCATGAATCAAATTACCGATGGTTCCCGGAGTAATGCCCCGGGTTCTGTCAAAGTGATGTGAAGCCTTTGCTTCTGATCGCGAACATCTGGTAGGTGGTACAGAAAGTTGGCGAGCTCTACGGCCACAGCTTCACTTTCCAGGACTACAAGGTGCAGACCCCGTTGCAGAACCCGGAGTGATGCGGTGTGCAGCTCCCACGCCGGACACTCTCTGCACTCTCTGATTGTTTGCCGATGTCTGCCGGGACAGGTTGGTGGGGCCGCGTGGGCGGCTGCGGAGGCCTGCGGGCGTCGATATGCCCAGAGCGGATTTTTGCAGCAGATCTTTGCTTAACGCATGGGCTTTCGCGCGTGTTTTTGCTTAGTTTAGGATTCTGTCAGACGCGAGATCGGGTCGCATGGCGCAGGGGGGATGAAGGGCACTCGGGAGGTTCGCAAGATCAAATGGGGTGGGTGAGCCAGAACGGTTGGACAAGAGATGAGCAAAAGGCATTGATGGTATTGTTTCCATTGTCTTTCACTCGAATCATGACCTGTGGGTGCTGAAGTGCACGACGGGGGAGAGTATAACCCAATCGGATTTCATGGTCACCTGTGCAGTTGCCTGTGTGTTTACCGATTTTGCCGATTCAAGTTTTCGTGTTTGGTTGAGACATCTCCGCTATGTTGAAGAAGTGTTAGAAAGTCTGGGATAGTGAGTTCCATCTTGAAGAGCAAGCTTGCACCTGCGGCGAATGTTTTGCATTCTGAACAAATCGACGGGGGCGCTGATTCTCGCGTCGTTGTGTGCAGGCTGCAGGAGAGACACCCACCCATCTTCCTGCTCACACACTCGAGGGCTGCGAGAAGTCGGACTGGGTTGTGCGATGTTGTGCGGTTTTCTGCAGTGAAGTACCTTGTTGTAGCGCTTCTCACACATCACTACTGTAGTGCCATGGCTCGAATCTGATGTGCTTTATCGCAAGAGTTTTGCTGTTGTACCGTAATGCTTGCAAAGCATTGCCGCGAATTATAAACTTACGACTGGCTGAATAACATGGAGCCTAGTGGTGGTTTTTCCAGGATGCCATCTTGTTCGGCTCTGTGGGAGGGCCTGTGGATCAACAACATGAGCCTGAAACCTGGCATTGCATGATCCTTGCACGACAGCATGTGGAATGTGGAGAGGGAGATGAGAATCGAAGGCCGCAGTGGAAGGACTGCGAGAAAAATGCTTTGCTGGGCTTGAGGAAGCGAGCCTCGGATGAAGATGTAAAGCAGAAACATGCAGCATGTGCAGCTTTCCTTCCGCCTTCAGGGGAGCGTGGGGCATTGTGGGGATGTCGCGTGGCTATGCGCGTGTTTTGTTGTTTCTCTCCCGAAGGCTTCAAGTTGGCTGTGAACCTCCGACCTTCGAAGGCCGAAAACGGCCCCAGACTTGCTTCGGATGTCGTGTCTCGGACCCTGAGTGTGGGAGGTGTATCCCTTCCTGTCGCATCTTTGTCCGTTGAAGCCATCCATCATAGGCCTTTGGCCTGCCATTGAAGGACATCGTCCTTGTATGGTAGCACCTGGTAGCTGCTGACGTGGGAGGTGCCGGAGTTGACATGGTGATCATCCGCGAGTTGGTGGGAGGCAATTCGTGGGGGCTCTAGTGCATGCGGCGCAAGCGTATGTCAGATGTGCATCTGGCATCATCTTGCATCACACGGCATTCATGGCCATGGTGGCGACGAAGAGGCATCTACTTCGGTGAGCACAAACGCGATGGAGACAAGGCAAGTCTCTCAGCAGAGCTTTCAAGCCTCTGTGCAGCTCTAGTGACTCTAGTGCTATGGCCATGCTTTGCCATGCTGTCAATGATTTTTGGAGGCCTTTGACGTGATGGAATACACCGCAGTATTCTAAGCCTGCCAAAGCTTGACGAGATGACGCGAGATGGGGCCTTGGAGAAGTCTTGGAGCCGAGGTGGAGGGTATCCGCAAGCCCATGGTCTTTGCCTTCGAAGCAGCGAGGCTTCGGCGCAAGAAGGCAGCTGCGGGCGCAGCATCGAGTTGCCTCGAGCATGCGACATGGAGCCGCGTGGTGCTACAGATTGCTACAGCTGAATCGGGCCACTCGGCCTGGGACAGGTGACCGTGGTGGACAAGGCCAACGTGCTTGAGTGTTCCCGTCTTTGGCGCGAGGTGGATGTCTTGGCTTGCATATCGTGCTTTGTAGTGTGCTTTGTAGTGCCCTTGTGATGCTTGTGTGGAGCTCGGAGCAATCGCCAGTCGTGCAGCTTCCGTTCCTGCTCAGCTTCTCCAGGTGGCTCGAGAGGTGCACAAGGGCTACCCAGATGTGGAACTGGACTTCATGTGTCCAGACTTACCTCTTGGGCGACAGCACACCCCACGATACTGAAGTTTCAGCAGCCCACCTCCTCGGCCTTCAGAGTTTGGGTTGAAGGTGTGCTGAAGGGCACGCAGAGCCTGCTGTTTGTTTGCAAATAGTTTACATGGACTATTAAATTAGCTGAATGTGATTTTAGTCATGTTTAAACAAGAACAAACATATGTTACTTCCTTGGTTTCTTGAAATACTGACGGTTTTTAGGTAATTGTTGCCGTACTTAAAGTTTCTTTTTGACGGAATAACAATAACGCATTCTTACGAACATGGTAGTTTTCGTGTTGCGATAAATATAGAATGTCTGCAGAAACAGGAAAGACGAGAACCACAAAGCAACGGTAAATATGACGATGTATATAGTATAGCATTTCTTCAGATTTCTTCAGAGTAACCACAGCAAAAAGGCATGAAAAAAGATGCCATAATTCTCCACATTGCTATGTGGAGTTCTGGCATTGGCCTGCCCCCGCCGCCTGCCCGTCTGCACACCGACATCGTAGACATGAATACGCACCGCCCGACCGGCCCGCATCAAATGGACTTCGAAGACATGAATGTTTAGCACAACGCCGCCTACAACACCCGCATCCCAAGGACATCATAGACATGAATGTTACACACTCACCGCCGACATCTTAGACATGAACGTTGCACACGCACACACACACACAACAGCACGCAACAGCACACACACACACACACACACACCCACACGCCCACACACACACACACACACACACACGCACGCACGCACGCACGCACGCACCCACCCACACGCACGCACCCACCCACACACACACACACACACACACACACACACACACACACACACACACACACACACACACACACACACCCCCGCGCCCGCGCGCGCGCACGCGCACGCGCACGCGCACGCGCACGCGCACAGACACAGACACAGACACAGACACACAGACACACAGACACAGAGACACAGAGACACAGAGACACAGAGACACAGAGACACAGAGACACAGAGACACAGAGACACAGAGACACAGAGACACAGAGACACAGAGACACAGAGACACAGAGACACAGAGACACAGAGACACAGAGACACAGAGACACAGAGACACAGAGACACAGAGACACAGAGACACAGAGACACAGAGACACAGAGACACAGAGACACACAGAGACACAGAGACACAGAGACACAGAGACACAGAGACACAGAGACACAGAGACACAGACACAGACACAGAGACACAGAGACACAGAGACACAGAGACACAGACACAGAGACACAGAGACACAGAGACACAGAGACACAGAGACACAGAGACACAGAGACACAGAGACACAGAGACACAGAGACACAGAGACACAGAGACACAGAGACACAGAGACACAGAGACACAGAGACACAGAGACACAGAGACACAGACACAGAGACACAGAGACACAGAGACACAGAGACACAGAGACACAGAGACACAGAGACACAGAGACACAGAGACACAGAGACACAGAGACACAGAGACACAGAGACACAGAGACACAGAGACACAGAGACACAGAGACACAGAGACACAGAGACACAGAGACACAGAGACACAGAGACACAGAGACACAGAGACACACAGAGACACAGAGACACAGAGACACAGAGACACAGAGACACAGAGACACAGAGACACAGAGACACAGAGACACAGAGACACAGAGACACAGAGACACACACAGAGACACACACACAGACACACACACAGACACACACACAGACACACACACACAGACACACAGAGACACACAGAGAGACACACACACACACACACACTGCATCTTCTCTCTCCGTCGGTGTACCTGTGTGTGATTGTCCGGCAGATCCGCAACTCTGGGGCTCCATAGATGGTGTTGAGCTCGGGGGTCGATCGTCAATTCAGCGGCCGGGATCGGGCAAAAGCACAGGCCGCCTGGGGGAGTCGGGCGGGCCGGGGGGGGCCCTTGAATTTTAGGTGTTCGAAGATGACCAAATTCAAATCGACAGCTTGTTGCCACAGCTGAGGCATCGCTGTTAATCTACATTGCACCGGCATTGATGGCCCTGAGCCTGAACCTACGGCCAGGGAAAGCAAACGGAGGACGCACAGTTCTGTGACATGTGCATGCAGCTCTAACTCTGGGGTGCTGGGATCGTGGTAGGGCATGCCATGTCCGAAGTCTGTTAACGACGCTTGCAAGGCAGATGAGCTCAAAAATAACTGTACAGCATTCGGCAGTGAGGAGGTCAGGAAGCTGCAAGCGATGGGTCGAAGGCACCAGGCCAGCCCTGTCTAGGGTCCCAGCTTGACGCATTCACAATCCTCAACCTCGGCTTTGCTTCGCCCTTGGCCTGGCCTCTTGTGCAGGCCAGGACATGCTACTTCGCGGGGTTGCAGGCAGGCTGCTATGGCATATGGTGTAATGTGAGGGCACACGCACGTTAAATCGTAGTCATGCAGGCTTGGGCTCTCTTCTTGGAGGCTTTGGCGTGGCAGAGTCCATGCAAGTGTAGGCCGTGGTGTTGTAGATGCCTGCAACTCAGGGATGGGTGGTCATGTTCCCACGCAACCCAGACCTTTTTGTCGTGGAGGCTTAACTTCAGTCAGTCACGCAAGGGGCAAGAAATTATGTAAAGAGGCTGCAATTTATTTGTCAGCCGCATTGCTGAATTCGAGAATTTTCTTTGGGGCCTTGTCAGCCCTATTTTCCACTTCAAGTCTTCATCCCAGTGATCCCTTGAGATCCCTTGGGCAGTCTGAGAGCTGTGATGCACTCAGGCTGGCCAAGGTACATCTGTTGAACACCCAGGTGCATCTGTTGAAAGCCCAGTTGCATCTGCTGAAGGCTCCGTGCCTGCAAGGAATCATCCGCAAAGAACTTCGTGAGACAGCACAGGGGGGGGGGGGGAAATTGGAATCCACCGACACAGAGCCTGATGGACGTCAAGTGTGATGCAGTGTACGCATGCACTGATGTTGAGTCCAGATGTACACGCTGGAAGAGGACTGGAGATAGAGGAGGGAAGGCGGCGCATATCTTCCGCTTGCGTTAAAAGAGCTTTCTCCTGGGCAATGACAGCTCAATCGCAGATCTTTTGCTTGACATGAAAGAGGTGTTTTGACATGCAGAAAGTGCAGGAACAGGGCTTCTGCTGAATTGCCCAGACTCTTGCATTCCCTGCTCCTTTGACTTCATGCAGGTGTGGGATAGAGTTGTATTTTGAATGCATCTCGGGAACCGAGCATCATCTCCATCGTGGGGCGAAGCCCGCGGTAAAGCAGTGGGCCGAGTCAGTAAGACCACGGAGGCCTGCGACCAAGTGTTGTCGGGCCTAAGTCAGAGCTCAACAGACCGAAACAAATGAACACGGACAAGACGGAGCTCAAAAAGAATGTAAGCAGGCGAAGCAGTGAAGAAGGTGAACGCATGCCTTGCAAGCCGTGCAATCACGTCGAGCATAGCTCCTGGCTGGTTATGTCTGCAAACCATCTAAGTTCAGCGTCCCTGGCACGTCTTTGATTTTGGCTCCACAGAGAATTCAAGGACACTGTGAGGGGTGTGGTGCACGTGAGCCTTGAGCCCTGAGGGCAAGTGCTCACGGCATTCCATCTCGCATTCCAGCAGATCCACGCAGATCCAGGCTTGCCCTCGCGGCTCTGCGCGTACATGCGCAAACGCTTTTCTGAGAGAGCCGGGTGTGCTGGGGTGTGAAAAGGACGCGCTGAGCACAAGCGTCACAAGAGCAGCTGTGTGGCAGGGCCGGCCCGACGACCCTCCAGCACTGATCTGCACGCTGCTGTGGCTGGATTTTTCACAGTGATCTTGCAACTGTGATGCGAAACGGATGCTCAGATGCTGGCAAGGATTCTTGGTCAGCGAAGCTGCCACCTCGCTCCCTAAGCTTGGAATGACGGAGGCCTGGCACCCGAGCGGCCTGGCAAGCGGGAGCGTGCGTTGTGCCGGTACTCATGTGCCCCAGGCTGACGCCGCGAAGGGTGCGGCCACGGAGCCAAAGCCAGAAGACTTCAACATCGAGGAGGCCACCACTGGGCAGAAGCCTACGAGTCGAAGTCTGTCTAGGTACGCGGGATTTCGCAAGCAGTCCCAAGTTGTGAGCTTCCTGGTGTAGGCGCTGGAAGCTTTCCTTGCCGACGTGCCACCTGGCTGCAACAGCAGACGCCGCGTTTCATGTGACGTGGCGATGTGGTGCCCTTCGCGCTTCGCACAGGAGTAGCAATGAGCTTCGGCTGCCGCCCTTGGATCCAGAGCAGCGCAAGCAGGCAAGGACGGCACACGCTCATGCAAGCTGATGTGAGCATGAGGGGGGCGCTGCCGCCCGTGACGGTCGCAAGAAGCACAGCAGGCAGCACAGCAGGCATGGAAGCTCGAACAAGACCTGCCAGGCCAAGAAGCTTGCGGAGAAGTATCCAGAGATCAAGTGTGAAAGCTACGGCTTCGGGGAGGAACGAGCCTCTGCTGCACTGAGAACGGCTTCAGAGGGTTGCACTTCTCAACTTCTCAAGTGCTTGCGGCATCGACTGCTGAGCGATGGTGTGTAGTTCTGTGCTGTGTAGTTCTGCTCGGCTGCATGGTAAGGCAGGCTCCATCTCTTCAAGACCCCAGCAGCGTTGAAAGCTGGCCTGGCAAAGGAAGGTCTGGGCGTCCAAACTAGCAGACTGGTGACTAGTACAGGCGATGAGATGTTGTCACCCTCCGATGGTCCTGGCGGAAGGTTGCAGAGAAGGGCAGCGAACGGAGTGTGCTTCGGACCAGTCAACAGCCGTTTCAGGCCCCTTGGCAAGCTTCATCACCCTGCGTCGCTGCCACTCCCGCACTCCTGGAGTGCCTAGGAGCAACTTCGCCCGAATCTACAGAGGATGCCTCCGGCGGTGCCTTTGAGGATAGCCGGGATGTAGCCACGGCACCACAGCTCCGAGAAGAGGTCTCAAGCATTCGCTGCTGGCAGAGCGTCTGCAGGAGATCGCGGCGTTGCCGTCGAACCTCTACCAGGTGCGGAACACTTTCATCCACATCGAGGTGGGGCTCCGGCAGCTTGTGGTGCCTTTTTCTCTAATCGCCGGAATGTGTGCAAGAACACCTGCAGATACTGGCAGGAGAGGGGCGTGGCGGATCAGCGCAACATCCAGTCTATGCCGCACGGCATGCACCCGGGCCGCAAGTTCGATCAGAGATGCCAAGATATGCCAACCTGTGACCATGTCGATGTAGTGTCGCGTCTAGCTTCTCCAAAACACTCCAGAGAGACCTGCGGTTGGCGGGTCAGGGTTTTGCAGCTTTCGCACCGGCTAGTTGCCGTTCAGCCAGGATGCGCCTCCGGGCCTGTGCTGCATGTCTTAGTAATAATAATCCGCTGTTCGCATCCCTTGAGGTTCGGGCAGCGCCTGCAGGAGGAAGCCATGCAAGGCGCACAAGACCGCGTTGCAGGCCCGGGCGTCGCACATCCCGCGCTGTAGCCGCAGCCATGCGCAAGCGATGTCTGTGCACGTCGTCCCTGGCTCTGAGGCACAGATGCCCCTCCTGCAGAGCCAGCTGTCAAGGCGACACCTCCGATTCCGGAGGAGGTCGCCAACAAGGCCAGCCGTAGCATTGAGCCGTATTCAATCGTTTTGATTCCAGCGTTCGCCACTCGCCACGTGACCAAGACACCGAGGAGTTTGCTCCTGGCACAGAGGTGGTCATCGAAGGCCCAGGGGAACATGCGGGGGCTTTGCGTTCTTTGATGGGGAAGCTCAAGCCGGCGCCACCTTGACCTGCGGGCTCCAAGGACTGCAGAAATTCCCCGCATTCAACGGCCTTCGCGGAACCATCCAGCTGTTAGACAAGGCTACAGGCCGTCGGAAGCTCGGCTTCCGTGGCAGCGCACAGACTTCGGGCGGCTTTGAGTGACCCGCTCTTGGGATGGTCCCTCTGTATTCTACTGCAAGCCGCGCAGCATGCCGCGCAAGGCTACAACGTGCAGCTGGCCTCTACAGATGGGCCGCTCGATCAGATCGCCAAGATCAGAGGTGAGAACCTTCGAATGCAACTCGGAGGCATTGCCTCTAGTTGACATTGGGCAGTAGTTGGGCCAATATGGGCCAACGATTACCCGCTCATGCTTTCAATCCGGTGATATCTTGCAAGGCTTCCCACGAGGTTGGTGAGTTTGGAGCCCTGAGCTCCCACGGGACCCACGGGCGCAGATCTGCACGGACTAGACAGCAGCAGCATGTTTTGCAGCCGTTTAACGGGACTATGGGGCGAAGCAAAGCTTGAATGTGCTTGTGAGCCCTTTCGAGTTAAGCTCACGCGAGATAGGGGAGCCGAATTAGTCGAATCGGCTCGAATAGCACGCACACACCGCTACGTTAACTTCTGAACGACACACACACACACACACACGTTCAGTGCGGAGGTTGGTGCCGCCGCCTCCGCCATTTGATCCTTGGGATGCACTGGCTCCGGCACTGGCTGCAACTTTGGGCCAGCGGTAGCTGCGGACACAGCATGACACACGACAAACACGCCGGGGAGATGCTGGCAACAACAAGACCCAGAAATAGAACTAGTGAAGAGTGAAGTGAACAGACATTAAGACTCAGCCCCAGATCAACCATTCAATCACAGTCTTCGAGAGATCCTTCAGATGTGGGCTGTCAAGGGTGGTTTTGCCTTAGCCTTTGGTAACAGCCTGGTGTTCGCTGCCCCCACAAAAAGCCAAATAAAACAATATTGAATTGTAAACTTGTGCACCAAATAAAATATTTTATAGGTCGTTTTGGGGGCCCGTGTCCCCCAAAAGCCCATATTAACATTATATTACACGCGTAAACTTGCCATATGATATTATAATAGTAGGGGCTTTTAGTGTTCACTTCACAGGCTAGTATCTTATGACTCATGAATTGTCTGGTCATTAAGGTAACACTTCGGGCGGCCACTATAATCCTTTGCCTGGTGTCCTCGTTACGTTCATTATATTCATGCCTCGCGGGCTCGTTATAGTACAACTCTCTTCACTTCATAGTAAACCTTAGTGCCAACATCCTTCACTCCTGGATACTCCTGGTATTCACTGGACTGGGCTCTTAACCCTTCATTCACCTTTCTCTCGGGGACGTATCCATGAAGCTGAGACTTTAGGATTATTGGGCTGTCAACCTGGCATGAAATTCACCTCTTTTCCCCGGTCCCCATAATTATAGTACGAACGAAGGTAATAAAAACACGCTTCGTTCGTAATATGATTATAGGGGCATAAAGGATGTACATTATAAGCCCCAATATAATAATATGGGCCTTACGTTCACTTCATGAAGAATGAATGTCTGGCAAAGCCCGCTTTCGTGGCTGACTAAGCCCTGCCGATGAGCGGATGCCTCGTCAGACACCTAGCAGATTCTAGCAGTAGTGCGACAGCCGAGGAGTCCAGCGTCACGGCCCAGGACTCAGAAGGCCTCAGGGAGTGCAGCTTTCGCGTAGAGATCGGACGCTGATGTGATGATGCTCTGGAGCTTCCCATGTGACATCGTGCGACCTCACGTGACAAAAAGTAGCAGGGCCGGGTAAAAAAGTTCCAACGATTTGCGACGCGAGCCAAGGTGGCTCCGTCAGCGATGCACGCAAGGCCTGGTGTCTGTTGCATGTCCTTCGCTTTGTGAGTCCAAGAGTTATTTGGATTCCCATGGCCAGGGCGCCAGACTTCGTTCCGATGCAGCGAATGGGCTTGACAAGCGTTCCGCCTGCTCCTCTGTGGCAGGAGAAGCATCGTGGCATGTCGTACAGTTTGCAGCTTATGCGAAGTGGCCCACACTGCCGGTCTCCGCAAGCTCTTGCAGGAGCGCCACCCAGTGCCTCCGCCGATGTACGCAGAGCCTCGGCCAAGCGCGCCTGTGTTGTCAAATTGTCCTTTACGGGGCGCTCCCGGGTGGTAACTAGTTTTTGAGCCTTCGGATGTCGATTGTTAGAATGGACAAGCACCTTGCGCTGGAACAAGCAGCAAAGTTGTTCATAGACGTCGCACCAAGGGCCAGTACGATCCGTACGTCCATCCAGCACACTCGCAACTCGCCTGCAATTGCCAGTAGTAGTGGGGATGCTATACTCTGCCTGCGTGGCAGGGGATGGCACTCCACTTCGAACTGGACCTTCACAAGCTTCAGCATTGGGGTTGGGGGCTTCGTGTCTCCAAGGTATCCTCCCGTTCCGCCTCCGGTAAAGTATGCAGCGCGCTGACCATCGTATTTCGACCGAATCCGAATTGGCGCCTTGGCGGAACGTTTGGACTTCGGACCGCATCGGGGCCGTCTGGCCCACGTGGTCAGAGCTCCATCAGCTGTGCGAACGGGTCGAGTGGCACAGACTCATGCATCCTGGGGCAGCTGAGGAGTATGCGCACAGCTTTGTGACTTATCGAATTCGCGCCTGGGCCTGCTAGTAACCGCCTCGCTTCTTCCAGCTACAGTACAGTCACGCCCAGAAGAATGCTTGAGATGATTGAGATCGAGCCACGTGCCATCTTTTCATTGAGCCATGTCTTCGCATACTAAGGGGCCTCCAAGCCCACGGAATCTGCTCTCAACTTGATTCAGAGCTGAGCATGCTTCACTAGTTTTTCCCATAGGCCCATAGGAGGGCTGAGTGATTGCACCGTTGGGGCCCACCCAGAAGAAATCGGATTGTGGATGCAGACGCAGAGATGTACTGTACTGGCATTTGGCTTCGCACATCGTCGGCATTTTGAGGAAGGCCTTGTAGCCTTGTAGGGGCCCGTGCCACTCAGCAATCGGCAAAGCCTCTTTCCTCCGTGCCCGCCTGGTCGAAATTCTGGGCCGGGAGGGCGAAGGAGACCCTGGCGAATGTCGCTTTTGGTTACTGATCGCGGACTTTGTGGGGACACCCCGGCAATGACGCCCACTAGCGGCGTGGGAGCTGCGCGGGTCGCGGGAGGGTTGCGCGATGTTTGCGATGTAGGCAAGGTCGACAGGCATTTACGAAGGCTGCAGTTTGAAGGTTGCGACGGCGCAGTAGGGGTGTTCCACGAGACCCTCCGCCACGATGCTGAAGCGTCCTCGACAAGCCTTGCCATTTTCACCCGTGCTTTGTGGTAGCCTGAACGGTTTTAAGGGCTTCCGCCGGGAAGGCTTCAGTCATCGTCACATGCTTGCACGCACCCCAGCGCTGAAGCCTCATCTCACCAAAAAAAGGCTCGCTGGACTCTGACTTTTCGCGAGCAGATCGCCTGCAATGCAACAGCTTTAGATCGCTCCGCATTCTGCTGGCCTTTGGCTCGACAGGGAATTCAACGACCCTGTGAGGTGTCGAGGTGGTACAGCATTTGAGCCCCGAGGGCAAGTCTGAGAGTCCAGCAGATCCAGGCCTCCCTGTTTCATGCACGCCCCAGAAACCACCAGTCGAGAGCAGTGGCTGCGCAGGGTCGACTCGATCGACAAACCATTCGATCTGTGCTATCTGCGCTGTGAGCCTAGGATTTGCCACGCTTTCTGCTGCACTGCAGAAGCTGCAAAAGTGCACGTTGGGCTCTTGAGGCTTCTTTGATCAGCGATTCTATCCCGAATGACTGGAATGACGCAGGCCTTTTGCCTAGATTCTAGATGCCTCTACACACTACATTCTGCAGTGCAGTTCAAGCTCGGAAGAACGTGAACCAAAGGCCCATCTCGCAGAGCATGCTGAGCCAGAGAACGGGCCAGAGACTTTCAACATCCAGGAAGCCGCTGCGACAGCATCTAGCTCAACGCAGCATGAGACATCTACACGGAATGGCTTTCAGAAGCGCAGCACCCAACAAATTCGTTTATTTGTGGCATGTTGGCCTTGATGCTTCTCTCTGCCCAGGCTCTGGATGCTTTCCTTGCCGATGCGCCACCCACCTGCATATGCGAGATTGTTTAATCACTACCATGGATTAGCCCTGCAAAGCTTGCTTCAGCTGAGATCAGCTGAGGAGCTGCAATGAACTGCAACTGCCACCGTTGGATCCCGAGCAACGTAAGCAGGCACGGAGCGATCGACTGAAGACAACGCATTGATGCCGTGGGCAAGGCGCAGGACTCCTCAACCCTTGACAGGCCAAGAAGCTTGCAGAGAAGTATCCGGAGATGAAATGCGAAAGCTATGGCTTTGGAGAGGAACGAAAATTTGCTGCACTGGTACTTGTAGTCGGAAGGTCCTCGAGCACAACTGATTTGTCGCGATCTTCGCTTTGTTGGGCCTGCGCTGAGGCAGACTGCATTTGTTCAAGACCACTGCAGCGTTGAAAGCTGGTCTGGCGAAGGAAGGCGCGCGGAAGTGACAGCCTGTTGGCGCTTTTATGCTGGTTGACCGTCATATGTAATTGCCAGGGATAGATGATAAGTGGCCCCACGACTTTCCATGGCAGGCTCCAAAGAAGTGCAGCAGACGGAGTGCGCTTCGGATCATTCAACTGCTGTTTCAGGACTCATTCCAGTCCTGTGCCCGGGGGAGGGCGTGGGGTGGGGGTTGTATGGTAGATCTACTGAATCACTGCGTGCAGGTATCTCGGTGCGCTTAGTGCAACGTACAGAGTTCTGAGGGGCGGCGTCCTGCTCACGCTCTTTGCATCGGGTTGGCTGTGTGCCTGTAGCTTCCTCCGTGTGCGACCAAAACATATGTTTGCGACTTGCACTGAATATGCTGGCTTCTGATTTCGTTTACCTGGCAAAACACGAATATTAGCGGGGCTGGAAGTAGCAAAGAAAGTAGTAAGGTGGGTGGAGGGTGGCGGAAAGTGGGGCCGAGTAGTCCGAACGTGCGCCCGCAACAGAGATCAATGACGCGATCCATGCACTTCTCGACGGGTGCCCTCTTTACTATGCGGCGTGCCGTGTATACGTCACGGATTTCGTAGCAAGATTTGCACAAACCCGGCCAGCTTCGGCAGGCCTTCCGAGCCTAAAAGTCGGCCCGCGGAGCATTCTGTGAGCACTCTTGCAGTGACACTTGGTATCTCTCTCTTTCTCGCTTTCTCTTTGTGACTAGGACTCTGCGCTGTTAGAATATTAGAACAATGTGACATTCACAAGAAAAGCCATCGCCGACCTGGTGCCTTCATCTGCGCTCATCTGCACATCGGCAAGGAGCAGCCTCTCCAGAAAAGACAGAGGGCATTACAGGTGGCGCCTTATTTGAAGATCCTTGGCACGGAGTGGGCCTTCTTTGTTCTCGATGTTCACAAGATGCTCCTGAGCCCTTCTCTGACCATCTCTGAGGAAGTCGCGGCACTACTCTCAAATCTCTACCAGGTGCGGAACACGTTCATCCACATCGAGGCCAGGTTTCATGGGGTGAAGTACCTGACAAGCGCAAAGCCAGCTTCTCCCAGGAAAAGGGTGTTGTCGATCAGCGCAACATCCAGTCAATGCCTCATGGCATGTGCCTGGTCTGCAAGTTCGGAAGAGCCTTAGTCGAATCAAATCAACAGCCAACATGGCGTGCCCAGAACTGAACGGTTGTTTCGTTGAGCTGCTCGCCATCCAAGGTTTCGGCAGTGCCTGCAGGAGGAAGCTGTGCAAATCCCACAAGACGGTGCTACAGGACCCGAGATGCTAGTTTCAAGCCACGCTCAGCCATAAATCAGAGTTGTGCGCTGCAAGGCTGATCTAAGTCACAGGAAGCAAAAAAAAAGGGCTCCTGACAGCCACTATTACTAGGCACGAGGTTTCATTCTCGGGCTGGATGGCATCTCGAGACAGCAAGCCGGTCAGTCTTTTTTTGGTGTTTACAGTTGTTCATTGAAGACCGGTTCGTTAGTCTACAAGCCTCGCCTGCTCTGTGTGTGTGTGTGTGTGTTGAAACTCTTGGATTTCGTGCCACCCCAAACCAGCATGGCTTCTGGTAGGACTTTAGTGCAACAAGGTTGCGGAATGAGTCACAGACCCGAAAAGGATTAGGGTTCAAAAGGCCTCACGTTGCCTCGCCGTTGCCGATCCAACTCGAACTCCTGTTTTGCGATTCAGTTCGTAGTGCCACGTGCTGGCCCAAGAAAAACATGGGTTGATGCATGCCAGGCCCAGCTACTCCTGCCGAAGAGCCACCGGCCACGGCGACACCTCCAATTCCGGAGGTCCCAGAAGTTCCTAAGGCCCGCCACATGGTGCCAGGTAAGGCTCCTGCCGGTTCTGGTGACATGTGCGACTCATTCGCTGCAAAGGAGTTCGCTCCTGGCACAGAGGTGATTATTGAAGGCCGGGGGCAACACGATGGGCTGACATGCTGAGCGCTTGCTCCGTTTTGCGGTGGGCCACGAGAGCGTGCTGTCACATTGTCGCGCCCGAGGGTTGCAGAAGTTTCCTGCATTCAATGGCCTCCGCGGCACTGTTCAGCTGCTCGACAAAGCCACAGGTCGTCGGGTTCTCAGCGTGCGCTGGAAGTGCGCTGGAGTACCGTGACGTAGCGTGAAATACATACCTTGGCAGAGGAACAAATCAGTTTTAAAGTCTCGCGGCGAGTCCTTGCAAGCCGAATCTTGCAAGGCTACAACGTGCAGCTTGCCGCTACCAATACGAACAGGCCACCCGAGCAGATTGCCAAGATCAAAGGCGACAATCTTCGGATGTTTCTTGCAAGCAATTCATACAAAATCTGCAGCGCGCTTCTGGAATCTGCGCGTCATCACGTGAGCACTGTATGCACCTGACTGCCCACGTTTTCGGTGCTGTTGACGAGTGTCGGCTGCCTGAGGTTGGTGCCGCCTCCTCCATCATTCGAACCTTGGGATGCACATCCACTGGCAAAGCACAGCTTCAGCGAAGGAGTCTTGTTGGATACCGATGGACCGACGCTTGAGGCCAGTGAAGAGATCCCGTCCAAGATGCACGCAAGGCAGGAAAAGGAAGAGGAGGTAAGAGAGACGAGAGAGAGGCTTAAGAGAGAATGAGAGGACTGCCAGCGGCTGTAGCAGCTAGGGAAGCCTTCGGGTGGGATTCTGCGGATTCCGGTCATGGCATTGTCCAAAAGAAGTGAAACTGCGAGTGCCGCTAGAGCATGCCGCATGAGTACCAGCAGCTTACCTACTCCAATCAATGTCCTCTAATCCGCCAAACTGTGGGAAAATGCAAGTTGACATGGAAGCCTCCCCACTTCCCATGGGGACAAAATTTGCGCACTTCACTATCGGCATTGGGAAGGGTTGGAAGCCCCGCGAAATAAAAGCGATAAAGTAGCTTGCTTGCAGCAGCCACTGCTTCCAACAGCTGCAACAGCACAGTTGGGCTCCCCTGCGCCTGCTTGGCAGAGTGCCTTCAGTCATTCACATGTCGCCAGGGCACCCGACTTCGTCCCGATGCAGTGTATGAGAATGCCGAATGTACAGCCAAATGTACAGCCGAATGTGCAGCCGAATATGCAGCTCAACGCGCAGCAGAACTTGCAGCAGAACTTGCAGCCGAGCATGCAGCCAAACCCGACTTGGCAGGACAGGGTGCATGAAATCTGCGACCTAGCAACTTTTTTCTTGCTTCCGCCAGCAGCTGTGGGGACTACAAAGTGCAAGTGCTGCTAAACTCGGAATGTCATGTCATGTGGGTGCGTGCCTACGCATCAGTAGTCTACAGGCTTCTCGAGCAGCACTGCAGCCTGACTAGATATGTCTCATGACTCCGTCATGTTTGCGAGGAGCCTGCCCTGACCATCCAGCAGAGCTACGCGTCAGCCTGAGCCGAAAGACAGCCGATGCGCTCGGACATAATTAACGAGTCTGTGGTGTGCCATGTTGCCATGTGGAGCTGCTGAGGATCCATCCCAGTACTATGCGTATCAGCTCCTTGGCCTTTGCGAGTCTCCAACCGTGATGAACTGCCTCCACCGTTGTCCGAGCGTGAAAGTGTCAGACGACATGTAATTCGCCCAGGTACGCTCCGAAGGTCGCAGCACGCTGACTGACTTCGTTCTGGGACGCAGTTCGGGATGGCCCTGGAAGTTCCCAAAACTACACTCCATGACATATGTTGGCATCGCGTCATGTTACTCGTTTACAGTATCATTCGTACCGTACTTACACTGTATTCTCGGCCCCGAGGGCCAAAGCCTATACTGAAGTCCACAACTACGGGCAACTTCCAGGGACATCCCAATACAAAGTATGCGCAAAGGTACCTCGATGGCGGGGAGCCCAGGAATACTCAAACTGGAAGACGTGCCATTTTGAACACTGCTCTCGAGCTGAGGTACTCAACTCGACTGTGCACTCGGAAACTGCTGGAATTTGCATCTTGCCTGCAGCGCAGACGCACTACGCACGAAGGGCTTGCTTCTGCTGGCGACCAAGGAATATGTCGACTTGCCCTCAACATTGCTTCAGGGCTTTGCACGATCAAGTAGCTTTTTTTGGCACCATCGGCTTCCTGCTTTGATGCACTGGCATGTTCGTGCTCGCCGACGTCGAACAAAGACGGGCAGCACGCTGCCAGGGATGATGCTGCCACTGATTTTAACTTTCCAAACATTTCAGAAGACCTGCTGAAGGATGGTCGAGTCTTTTCTGTCGCCTAAGAACACATTAGGTGTGAGCCTGGGTTAACTTGGCCATCTACTACTTGCAGGTCTGCATCCCTTGAACTTCTAGCTGATTCTAGCTTCTTGACAAGCACTGACCTTCCTTAGAATCCTGCGCAGCATGCATGAATGCAAACACCGCACAGGGTTGAGCGTACGTGCGGAGCGTTAATGTGGATGCTCAAGTGTTATCATTATTGACTGGATCTCAAGACTGTCAAGGTTGGCTTATTCTCGCTTGTCCACGGCCAGAATCCATGCACAAGTGTTGATGACCTTCTTGAACCTGTCAGGGTGCCGGACTTCCGTTCTCGGTCTTTGGTGCACTGCTGCTGAATGCCTTGGCCGCAGCCTGACACAAGCTCAAGCACAAGCTCAAGCGAGCAGACCTGCTTTATTATGTTGAACGGTTGGCCGTACGAGGTGACGCAAGAATGCACGTACGAGACAGGCACGACCCAAGAGTAAAACTTTGCCCGGCCAAAGGGGGCGGTTCCGAGCCGCGGCAATGTGCAGGCTCGGGCAATGAGAAGAGTGCGCAGCGGGAAGCAGCATGCAGCATGCAGCAGCAAGTAATTAGATCAAGTTGCCTCTGGCAATCTCTGGCATGCTTCTCGCATGCAAAACTCTCCAAAACAACTGAACTCGTGCATTGGGCACATGCCGCCCAGGGGCATGTCATGCCCTTGCGGCATCTTCAAGAGACGGCGTCGGCCCAAGTTGTGCGTTGAGGCTGGCGCGCTGAACGCCTGAAGGATGCCACTTTTGTAGAGACAGCAGCTGTAGCTGTACTGGGCTCCACTTCATTTGCCAGCACAAGAGACACCAACCGACGGTAGGAGTGTCGAAGGCAAGCCATGTAAACCGCTGTTGCGCTTCATTGGTTACAGGCCGAGACATCCAGCGGCAGCGAGTCGCATGAATCTGATTCTGAGCCCGGTCTCCGTCAGCTCAGTGAGAGTTGCTGTGATGTTGTGGTGTGTAATGACAGTGTACTGGCGCGAATGTGGATTTCACAACTTCAAGTTGCGCCTTGGATGTCAGTTGTGTTGGGCTGTGGGGGCTTGAGGCTCAGCACCCCGCCCAGGACCACTTCCATGAGGACGGAAATCCTGAACCTGCGAGTGGCAAGAAGCAGAGGCGAAGACAAGTTCACCGCATCTTGGATAGGGACACTCGTCTTGATTGCCCATGAAACACCTTACTTCATGGAACTTACAGGGGGGTGATGTCCTGCAGTGTACGGCACAGCCGGCCCCACGCCCTCACCCATTTTCTGCAGCGAGGAAGGCGTGGAGTTCCAAAGCCAGGGCATTTTCCACGTTGTTCAGACGCGGAGGACTTGCACGATCTTTCTTCTAGACTTTTTTCATACAGTCTCTGATTGCAAATGCTGGCAAGATTTTTGACTTCTAGTTTCTTTGCTGTACCCTGTGAGTTCTTTCTTTATCAGTCCCAATTCCATCTTAATGCAATTGGAGACCTTTCAACGCGGAAAGTCCTCCTTCGCAACAACATGAGGTAATCCATTTGCCTTTTCCCGGCTTGTTCGTAGTCACGTTGACCGTGCCTGGGCCCCAGTGATTTCGTTGATATCACTGGTGAATCGATGGGAAGAACGAAACAGGATTTCTGTGCACATGTTCATGCGTGTCACATGCTTTCGTCGGCTTCTTTGTCTTCAGTGAGGTACTTTGCTTGCTTCGCCTTCTTCGCTCTTTTCTGGATCTGGTTCACTGACGTTTGCGCTATCGGCCTCGACTCCTACAGAGATGCTTTCTATCTCTCGGTGGAAACACAGATGACAATCGGTTATGGCCAAAATGCTGCATTACAGTATTTTTTGTTGACATGTATTCAGTCAGTGCCACATGAACCGGATGGAGCCATCAGGGGCACACATGTGGTAGTGGGCAAAAGAGGGCCAAGGCAACTGGCAGTCTTTCTGGCGTCCAGAATCGGAATCTAAGGCGTTCCAGACCCGAACTTTGGTGACTGCTGGGAAGCAGCCGCTGGGACAACGTGAAACGAGCAATGGACGTTGCTCTTAGCATGTGATGGCAGCCGAAGATCCTACAACTGCAACTGGCCTGAGGCAGTCCTTATCGTGGTTCAGACGGTAGTAGGGCTGATGCTGGACGCCACTGTGATCGGCGTGGTTTTCCAGAAGCTGGCCAATGCAAACGCGCGTGCCAACACAGCCCTTGAGCTGAACCAGTCGAGCTTCTGTTGCCTCTGTGCGTGAGAGAGGCATAGGCTTCTGCAGCATCATGATGCAAGAGTCTCGGCACCATGCATGTACGCTTGGCAAGCTTTTGCTCGTCCTCGGAATCTGAGGTGATTTTCAGTGACACTGCGTTGCTAGAGGTGGAGGACGGCTGTGCATACCTTCGCTTTCGGGTGGCGGACATGTTCCTAGGCTGGGGTTCACGTAGCCAAGCCCGTCCCAGCCATCACCGACAAATGAGAATCAGAGACACAGAAAATGCTCTCGATGCATTCAAGGTCTTGGCGGCCATTGTCTCAGGCGACGATGTACCCCGGAGCAATTTAGAAAATGGTATGTCTGGGCTCGGGAGGTACGGTGCCGGTGGTGTGGCCACTGCCAGACCTTGCGGACAAGTAGGGCTTGCGTTCCGAGCGTGAGCAATGTGCCCAAAGCTGCAAAGGCAGGTCTATTGCGTGCAACATCATCGAGATGAGAGCCAGCCGCGCGGCATCCGCGTGGAGCTTGCTGCAGTACATCTGGAAGAGCCTGACACAGACATTCATAATGGCATCATATTTCTAGGTCGGGGCAGTGCCAAATCATGTCTGCTGCCTGGAAAACAGAGAACATCATGCAAATACCGACCGCGCGTGTGGCAGGCCTACCAGCTATGGTATCGCACAAAATCAACTACGAGAGCCCGCTTTCGCCAGATGTGCCTGCTGGCACGTGCTTTGGTTCGAAACTGCTGAAGGGTCCCATAAATTGGCAGACAGGTGAACGCCCTATATGCACAGTCATGCGAGACAGTGATCGGGGAATGAGGCGCAGGATCCTGTGCGTTGCCTTTGGCCGTCTGGCACTGCATGTTAGGACTGGAAGCCCTACTCCGAATGATGTTCGAAAATATCTGCTTCTTTGCTGAGATTGGAAGCGATGGGGAGGAGGGAAAACGCTCAGCGGACCGAACAAACTACGAACGACAGAAGTACTCACACTCGCTCACATATGGCAGAATGCGTCAGAGGGGTCCTGAGAGGTGTTTCTTCGCGGTCAACGTCGAGTCTGCATTGTGAGCTCAGGATTGAGTCGCCTTATTTGGAGGTGTTGGTGCTGCTGAGCGGCACTGAAGAGTCTACTGGAGCCATTGTCGAAGCTCGACATTCCTACACACTCGACGCTCCTTACCTGCATGGAAAGCTGATCGGTGGCATGAAGACTTCCTTGGAGCTTGAGGATTGTTGCATGCGTCTGCTGAGGACATGTTTTGGAACAGGGCGTATGGAACGTGCGTTTCCATCAGCAGTGAAGGGTATCACTGTGTCGATTTTCATGCTATTCACCATACATATCCCTTGTCAGCATTGCCAGAACAGCGACAGTCCGCAGTACTCAACACTGCCGTTGCTCATGGAATTTCCCATACATTCCCGGCCACCCTGGACCCGAACATGGACAGCGACAATGAGTGAGGCAGAGCTGCCTACTGGCCACTTCGTTGCTCCCTAACGAGGCATCCAAGCTGGCCCATCCGCGACGTAGAGTTTACAGTAGTTATTTAAAGGGCACTTGGCTCCATAGTGGCCCACTAGTCACTAGTCTCGCTTGTGAAGAACACAAGTTTGAGCCTGGATCCGGGCCGACCTAAAGAAGGAAGTCGGTCAACAAAAGTGCTTGACCCGCTTGGCAAAGAAAATCGTCCCGTGTCTGGGAAGACTCGGGTTCAAGGTCCAACCCTTTCACGTTGCTGCTCTGTTGGATTGTATTGCGCTGTAAACGCTGGCCCCTCTGCCATCTCATCAAACCAGCAGAGAGCGCATGGAAGTTGCGCTCATAGAGAATGCTGCGGCCATGTCGCTCGGCAGCAGATGGGCAAGCCCCCTTATTAATATTCCCACTTGCGATTTGTCCCTGCCTTCGTGTCGTGCATGTGCAAGGTGGACGCAGCAGGCGCATTTGTATCGTTTTTCGGCCCGAACGAAAATGGCATCTGAGGTTCCATGCTGAAGGCAGCCATGGCCTGGTCCCTAGAGCCCTCTTCAAAAATTCTGCATGTCAGAGAGAACTACGACACACCTTGTTCTGGTTTCATACTCTGCTCCAGAGCCTGGTGCCTTGAGGCCCGGCACCATGTCCACCCGCAACTCCGGCCTCGTTGCGTCCCAAAGGAGCTGTGAAGAGTGGTTATATGAAGATGGTGTTGCATTGCATTGTTTTTTTATGTGATATGAGAGTAATATGTTTTTATATGATGGCTCAGTAGTGTCAGAGCTCACAGATCGTGCCTCCTCCTTGCTTCCACGTGTCGACTTGCTCTGGGCGTCATTGCCACGGTGCTTGGGATATCGGGCTACCTCGAAGCTCTAAGAAAAGGGGTCCAAACACAGGTATTTTAGATCACTCGGCTGCACTTGCTCGCGTCAGTGTGGTGTGGCGAGCCCAAAGCCTTAAGCCGTAAACCCAATGCCAGGCAGGTCCTGATGGCAACCATAAAAAGGAGAGGAGTAAGGAACCATTGGCCGTTCGCAAAAATGGAGAGGTTGATCCCAAAGCCCTGAATCCCTACAGACCCGCCAAAGCATACTCCAAACCTGAATACCCGACACCCGGCACCCTAACAGGACACCCTAATTCCTTTGAGCTGCAGCTCTCAACTCGTTGAAAGAAAGCGCAGGTGAGTAAGACGTGAGAGACAGTCAAGAGAGACAAGCAAGGATGCACACAATCCCTTTCGTGGTTGTATTCTAGCATGGCACGCCTCATGCAGCCTTGCACTGGAGCCCAAGTCACAGCTGTTTCTTTGCAGGAGATGTTGCGGGCCCAAAGGCGGTGGTGGGAGCGTGGAGCGTGCCCAATTTTGGCAAGGGAGATGAGAACCAGGAACCTTGCCTTGCCCCAGCTTGCTTTCAGCTTTGGCATGGTATTTGCTAGCATATGAAACACGAGTCCCTCTTCGAGCCCTGTGCCCTGGGTAGAACTTGGCATGCACTTCGCGGGGTTTTCCCCGCATCGCGGGGGGGACGAGGGGTGCTCAGGATTTCGATTGAGTTCCAGTCCTCCCAGGGGGGGAAATTTATGCACTTAATCCAGCCCTGATGAACTCCTACGCCCAGCAATGAATGTTCCTGCACCCAGGATGCTTTCATGACCTCCTGTAGCGAAAATGGAACCAAATGCTTCGTGGGTGCCGCGCGCCGAGCTTCATTTTAGGTTCCACGTGGAAAGACGCGGCTGAACGAACTTGGGTCCCGAGGTTTTCGACGGGCATGGAGATCAGGGAAAGCGCATGTCCCATTTTGCGAAGCAGGCTCGAGTCTTAGCCTGATGGGCAACAAGAAGAGGGTCACACTTGGTGACACATTTTTCAAGAGTGTGTCCGACTACCAGGCTCTAAGCAAGAGCCTCTTCAGCAACACAGATCTCCATACTGAGCCTGTGGCAGCGATACAGGCACTGGGGCCCTTGGCATTGCAGCGCTGGGGATCACAACTTAGTAATGTGCCGTTTCACGACAACTTGCACATGTCAGGCAGCATTCCGGGACACCCAGGCAAGTTGGGATCGGGTTGATCGGGTTTTGCAATCCCTCGCGTTTCCGTGCAAGTCAGTAGCAGGAAGGCTCAAACCGGGCAGATGGAGTGCCGGCAAAGTGCTCAGGGCAGCGGTCGGGACGTACCTATATCTGCATATATCAGGGCCAAACCGGTCAGGATAGCTAGCGTATGGGGAGGCGCGCAGACTCCGGCAAAATGATGATGATGATGATGATGATGATGATGATGATGATGATGACTTACCGTCCGCGCAATCCATGCTTGAAGCAAGCAACCTTACCCAACAAAAAGACATCTTGTTCCGGACAATCGCAAATCCCGGCGCTGTCCAGGTCCAGGACGTGCTTGATTCCATGCACTGGATAGCCTGCATCAACTACAGAACGCACCACCACTTTCTGTCATTCGATGTTATCATTAAGACTTGCCTTTTCGCCTTGCAGGAATCCAATTGGTCCTTCTTTAAGGTGTATTCATTGGGCTCGCTGAGCAGAGAGCTTGAGGTTAAGGGCTGGAGGCTGAACCCTAAAAGTCATTTTGTTGAGGGTCCGGCTTCCAAAGCCTAAACCCTGCCTCGCCTCGGGATACCCTGTTCAAGACATCCCAAACCCTACAGGAGGCCACGAACTCCCAAATCCTGGCTCGAGCTAGCCTCACTTAAATGAGCCTCTCCCCTGGCAAAATGCAGCTACTGCAATTGATTCATTAAAGTACTATCAGTACATTCAAGCTCATCTCTATATGTTGCAAATTATGTGCAGTCCTCATTCGGAGTTTAGAACCGTTTAAACTGTTAATATTTCAACTAAGCTAGTTCACATCACCGATGTTTTTCGTTCAGTCATTGATATACCTAGTTGGCTCCTGGTTACGCTCCTCCAATTCGATTTCAGTGTCAGTCAAGTATGCACTAGTTGAAGAATCCACTCGCCTGCCTATTGATGGCTACTTTGACTACTGTGAATAACTTACTGTCTGCTCAAGGGGAATGCAGTCGAAAGCTCATACAATTAGGCCTTTTGGACGATCAGTTTTCGCCCAGGCAAGCTGCACTATAAAATGGCTCCGAATCCTACAAGTTAACCCCCCCTCCTCCCTTCCCCACGACCCCCTATTTAACCATGTCATATTAGACTTCTTCAGATTATTACAAGAACAGGCGCAACTTCGATGAACTAACCTGCAAAAAATGCCCACTCACCTGTCTTACAATTACAAGCTATTCCAACTTAAGCTTCCTCAGTCTGATCGGAGATTCGACTTCGCAGTTAAACGAACATCATGTCGGAAGTGTTTCTGGATAAGTGTTGCGTTCATGAAATGAACAATAATTACTTTTAAGATTTTAAGAATTGACCCAAACGTTCTTTTAGTTTGCCCCATCCTCTCCCCACCCTTAATCCACCTTTAGCATACTGACTTGACAAAGGGAAGTGTGGAATGTTTAGACTTAGAGGGGCTGCGGGTGTTGGTTTGAATCGTATTGTTCTTCAATATGCTTGCACCACCGCACCTCGCCAACGCGCCAACACACACAAACATGTAAGAAAAGACTTCATCGCAAAGCCGCTGTAAGAAAATTGTTCCGGAGAGCGCACCGTGTGCCGCGCGCCAGGAGAAGATTGAGAAAGAGCACCGCCATCAAGCAGAGCTGTCTGGGACAACAGCCATCACAGCCTACCAGAATCCTGCTCTGCATGGATGGCTGTAGATGCGAATCTGCCTAGCATTTTGTACGCATACTTCTGAGCCTACAGCTGCTACACATGTTACACAGCAAATTCGCGCCTGGATAGTGCACAGAAGGTCCTCGCCCCGAACCTTTGGCAGGTTGCCTTGAAGTCTTTAGTTTGTAGTCTTGATGTCCTGCTGTTTGCGGTCACTATTGTAGGCTGAGTATTGAAGGACTGGTGCATGCTCCTGGGGAGTTCAAGAAGTTGCTGACGAAATGGTCCTTTTGAATCCTTGTGGCTAAAATTCTAAGGCACCGCAACCGGTTGGTAGTTGCAAATGCCCGAGGCCTAGACAAAGTTGAACCTTTTTTGCCGGTGGCAGTGCAGCCGTAGGAATGACCACGCAGTCGGAGTGCATAGAGTTCTCATGAATTGAGGTGGGTGACTCACGGGCGGTGCTGGGTCGATGCAGCACGCCCGCTCGGCAGACAGTGTCTGCTGTGGATCTCTCCAATGACCAGCGCGCGCCCCAGGTGTCGGGCACCTTTATTAGAACTGAGTACACTGGCGCCTCGCTCCGGAATTTGCAGTGCATACCCACCTCAAATCCAGCCAAAGCATGCCAGCGAATGGGGGCTGAGTTTCTCGCTCCTCCTCAAGACCAGAGTTCTTGCTTGCTAAGGAAGCCAGCCCGGCCGGACGAACGGCAGCGCATCCTCGCTGCCGGAGGGACGGTGACTTGGCAAGTGGATCTAGCAGACTCTTGAGCTTCTGATGCCCCAGCCCTGAGATTGAGCGCCCATTCACACGCTCCTGCTCAGCATACAAGGTGACCTCGGTTTTCAGTACTCCCGGGCCTTGCATTGCTGCACAGGTAGATCAAATGGCCATCCCAATCGTCCAGCGCGGTGGGGTGAGATGGATACGTGCAGGCTCGAGCAAACGCTCCCTGCAACTTGATTTTGCAATGCTTCTTGCTGTCGGCTGAAACTCGCGCAGGTCCTGAAAGGGTCATGGACAAGCAAGGCACGGCCCCAAGCAACACCAGCGGCGAACGCTGCAGTCGCTTGTACGTAAGTCTTCAAGAACAATCCGACGGCCGACTTCATTTCTTGCAACAGCCGACTTCATGTCTTGCAACATTACAAGGCATGGGAGGCTTGGCGATGTCTCGCTCGCTGGGGGACTTGAGGCTGCGGAGGGGATGTTTTGGGAAAAACATTGTTGTGCAACAAACGTCTGTGCTATGCTTGCCTATTAGAAGCATTGTGCCAGCCATAGAATAGCCTTGAGACACTTTTGCATCTGTAAGCAGGCTCCATCCTTACGCGGCGCAGCTGCAGATAAGCCGGGGCACAAACCTTTGGACAACTTATGAAAGCTCATCTTTCTGCTGCCGATTTCCTCCGACGACGAGCAAACTAAGGTTAGCTCCCAACCGGAAGTCGTCGAGCGAAAGCTAGACAGCAGGGACAAGGCGCAGCAAGTACGGCGACTTCTCAACATTTCCTGATCTTGATGGCCGATAGCTGGTGTTCTCTCTTCAAGGGGAGCACTGTGTCCAAGCGGGTTCCAGGTTTCGGCGCCTGAAGCTCTTCAAATCTGTCAAATCCCGTAGAGCGCGAGCACGGCATGCCTTGGCGAAGCTGTCCTTTGCAATTTCGAGAGTTGTTTCCTGTCTGGAAGGTGCTTGTTCTTGCTTCTGATGGTGTTTGGGATCACGTGACTTCCCAAGAGGCCGTGCATGTCTCGTGACTCCCAGAGTGCGGCTTTGGGGCAATTCTCGTCACGGCCTTGCTTTCGTATTTCATAGTTCACTAATAGTTCACTGCAACTGCAGTGCTGACAGGCCGTGGAGATCGCCGGGAGGGTTGATGATCCCAAGGTGGCTGCGCGGGAAATTACAGGCCCGCTGCAGACCCCGAGTTGCTGTGAGCCCGGCCTCCTGCAGTTCACAATCTTGTTTTTTTATGAGTCAATTTGCTCAATGCCTTCATGAAACCTCATTTAAAATGTTCGCACTGCGGGGCGACTTCTGGAGCTGCAATTTGTACTGCCGCGACTACAAACTCCTTCTGCGACCCCTGACTGTCCCACATTGTCCGACTGTCCTTTCATTGCCTCCCCGCTCCGTAACATGCACTCTTCGAGTGTGCTTTTCCTCCCTTGCCTCGTGACTGGCCATGTGAATTTAGCACTTGGGTCAGAACACGCAAGCCACACTGCCAACGGCCGCTAACTTTAACGAGCCAGGAATTGCTCGTCAGCGCTGGCAGATCGCCACCGATGGCCAGATGTCAGACGACATCACAGCCGTTGTAGCCTCCAGCCCACAATGCTCGTACGTTGGGGTGTGTTGCATTGTTCTCTTGGCTTGGAAAAGTAGTCGCTGTCAGACGCCCATCGAACCATCCCGAACCATTCGAAAATCAGCCCAGGTGCGCCTCAATGCTGTCGATGCAGCGCAAGCTGCCTCGCAGCCGGCTGCAAGCGGCCCTGTGCCCGCAAAAGAAAGCCAGACGGCACAGATGCGGAGGACAGGGTCACACGGTGACACGGGGAGATGAGTTGCTGTGGCGGACATGGGGTGCACGTGTCCTTTCCAGTGGCCGTGCGCGGTCTTAAAGCATCCTGAAACCTGAAGCTTCCAGGAGCTTTGCCTGTATTTTGCCTGTTTTGCAAGCAACACGTGGGAATGGCGTAGATTCCTCTTGGCTGCGAGGGAGCAAGGCAAACCGTACACTTGTGGACTGAAATCAAACGTGCATGCAACTGGTCCATCTGAGGACTAGTGTGCTCACCTCATTGTTTGGAGGCCCGGCTAGAAATGGGCATTCTGAGCTGAAGTGCTGTTGATGTTGCAGAGTGCCGAAGACATCTGTCCATTGATGATAGACGAGTACCGGGCTAAGTATCTGAAAGGCGAATGGCATCAAGGGCCATGGGGATATTTTTGGACGGGATCACGTATCTTCGGACTCGGAGAGCAGGCGGTCCGCGACGAGGACCGCGTCTGGAGGCTGGTGAATGTGCAGGGGCTGTGGGAGCCTCTCATAGCCTCTCTCTCTGTCGCTTTCTCTCGCTCGCTTTCCCTTTTTGCTGCTTCCGGTGGCCGTTGCTTATAACGTGGTCTCCTCTCACATCCGCTATGTCCCGCTATGTCAGAGGTCAACGGTCGCCTCCCGGACTCCAACAAGAAGCCCTCCTCTCCGGCCTTCCCAGGGATGTTGGAATCTCAGAGCCATTGACTGCCTCGATTCTAAAAACGTGCCGGAGAAGTGCGATGCATCACGTGGATGAGAGAGAGCCTCACCTCGCTTCCTGAGCCTTGTAACAAGAGTAGAACTTTTGCTTGCTACCTGCTGCCATGGACTTCCCCGACTAAGGCCACAGCATGGCTTGAGGCTACCGGAGTTTCGAGCTCAGAACACCCAGTGCTCGCAGCAGCGGCATGCTGGAGCTCATTGGCCAAATTTAAGCAGTGATTTCTTGGTCGTCTAAAGTAAAGCGATTTGTTCAGGTGCGGCCCGCGAGTGCCTGGGGGCAAGACTCGCTCCATCACAGCGTCAGGCACCAGACACCAGGATTTGGGAAGACCCTGAACGAACTGTTATCCGGTGGGGCAGCAGCAAATCCGGACTCCAAGTGTTTACACTGGTAAGGCCGCCGGTCCGAGCAGGCAGCCGGCCTGAGGGCAAGGCTGGGACAAAGAGGATGGAGCCATTGAGATCATGCAATATCATGCATGTGCATGCCTTCATGATTTGGGGCCTTTTGGAGCACTCAGGTCTTCTTTGTGTTTTTCTCTTGAGTTGCCTTCCATGTCAGGCCCGTTTCAACCGGACAGGCCATTGGCAACCCGTCCCCTTCTTAGCGCCACCCCGCAAGCGCGGAACCAGCGCAGAGGAAGTGAGCCATGGTGAGCCTCTGTGTACCCTTCGACGGGGACAGGCGGCTCGCACTGGATTCGCTACCTCCTGCCGGACATCGAAACGGTGCGCACGGTGTGCTCTGAGGAGCCGGCCTCAACTGCTTGGAACATTGAGTGGAACATACAAAACACAGTATGCAGCAACAAATGTTCCGCGGCTCAGAGGCGTGATCCTGTCCTGGTGCTGAGTCTACTAAGATGGCTTGTCACGAAGTTTCTTCTCTTGTGAGGATTCACTCTCGGTTTCGAAATTCAAGGAAAATCTCACACCTGGCCCGAGCTCTCACGCGTCTCTCCTTGCGGCCTTTTTCACTCTTTCGTCATGCCGAGGCGAACGGAGTGGCGAGAGTTCGTGAGAACACAGCAGGCTTGGTGCCTTGTGCCAGAATGCACGTTTATAATCACAGGCAGATCCAGCCCAGCCCGCCCAAACAAGAAGCCTCATTTTTAAGGCTGGTGTCCTGCACAGACTAAATTAGGCCATCACCTCAACTACCTCCGACTTGTTGAGCACTGCCTGGATCTTCCGTGATTGCCTTAGAGGCAGACAGCACTCAGACTCAAACGTGTCCCCACTGCCAAGAGCATCTCAAACAGCTGCGTCTTTCGGCAACGAAGCTTTTTCGTGGACGATCCGTTTGAGTAGCCCAGCAGGAATTCGGGAAGCCGGCACTTTTCAGCCATTTGGAGTTCCAAACGTGGAATTGCAGGGAGCATGTGATTCCCACACGGTCGTCCATCAACGAATCCAAGCTGTGGCACTTTGTCTCCAGTCTGAAATGCGCCGCGCGAGTAAAGTCTTAGAACGTATGGCTCCGATCTCGCTTTTAGCCGGCAGGCTAGTGGGCTGTGACACTTTCTGTTTCACCCCAATTCTTGGTTGGGCAACAGCACGCAACAGCAGGCTATTGACCGCTCAGAAACCAGGCACCACCACCCTTTTCAGATCTGGTTCGGCCATTTCAGAACGCGTTGCCCCAACCTGGTTGGCCCAATATTCCCACAGCGTTGCCATTCACTTGCTGCCGTTCCAAGGCACTGTGCAAAAGAAATGGTTGGCAACTTTCGACACAAGCTAAGCAGGTGTACGAGCGACGGAAACTTGCGGCGCTTAGACTTAGACTTAGACTTAGACTTAGACGTAGACTTGGGCTTAAACTTAGACTTAGACTTGAGGTTGAAGTTGAGTGAGCATGAGCCCATACGAGCCCCCTGCCTGCAAGAGATGTGAGCAGTCTTTTGACCTTTGTGGCCCTTGTATCCGGACTTGCTGTAACAGAGCCCACTGCAATCCTCAACGCTTGTGCCCTGCGGACTTCTGAGTTCGTAGTTCGGGCCGTGCTGATGATGCTACCTACTGCTCCCCCCCCCTCTGTGTGTGTGTGTGTGTGTTGCGGGCTGCGGTTTTGGTGGTCCGCTCGCATTGCTTCGATCGAGCTGCACCGTGTGTGGGCGCCCAGCCCAGCAGATCTAAGCTCAAACAGGGCCAAGTCAAGTCGCTTGCCAAGCACATTGGTACGGAGAGCAAAATGGCGCAGATGTCGCTCTGCCTCCTTTTCTCGCTTGTGACCATGGGGGTAGCCGTTCGCTCCGAGTCTGAGTCTGAGTCGCTTAGCCGACTTTAGTTCGCATGGCTCTAGATAATTGGTAACAGTGACATGTACGTGTACTCTTTAGCTCTAACGACTGCAAGGAAGTCAACGACTCACCTACACACCCCCTAAGGAGCGTGGCTACTGAGCTACTGCTCAAGGAGCTCACTCGTTGATTGTAACGTGGCAGGTTCACAGGAGACATTATTAGAGACAGCTGAGGCTTATCGCGAATGGGACCGAGTCCCACTCAGCGGATTGGTGCTGGAACTGCTGTAAGACCCCGAAGTGCTCCGGGATCAAGTACATGACCTCCGGCGGCCGGCAAGTTTTCTTCCAGAACTGCCAGGCTATAGAGGGCAAGTGGGAAGTCGAAGGAGCCATGTTTGATTTGGCAAATTTGGCAGGGTTTGGCAAGAGATTCTGCAGGTCGGCTTGTTGTTTTCAGCATGGGATCTCTGATCAAACCGACAGCTTGTCAGCCAGTCAACATGGTGCGTTTGCCTTGCGCCTTTCAAAACTTCCCACGAGGCCATCACGAAGCCACCGTAGAATCCGTAGAAGCCTTCCCAAGGAACTGCGGTCAAGCCAGAGATGCTTGGGTCGATGAAGTGGAAGTTCAATAGCGGGGCCGACTACATGTGCCGTGAGGATTGCGCAGTTTTCGAGGATACAGGTGCCATCAGGCCACCCAAACTCTTCAGCCACCAGACAGTCTACCGTGCTGGGGGAGCAGCTTGATTGCGATTGTTGAGGTGTGTGCACCAGACGAATCAAACCAAGAGTCATCGTGTCCTGCTGCTCTGCCACTTGAGGTTGCAGATGGTCTGCAATGTGCTTTTGGGCTGATGGAGGTAAATGGAAAATTGGTGAGTTAAATGGCAAATGGCTGTGAGAACGGCAAGAACGCTACGACGATACGAGTGTGCGACGAGGACGCCGTCGCCCGAGAAAAGGAGCACGAGCGAGAGCCGCCTAAGAGCACTGTGTGCCGCCGCACATCACCTGACCTAACGGAGAAACAATCCCCTGGAGTGCTGCTTCATATATCAAGCAGAGTCACAGCACCCCGAGGAGAGATCTCACCCAGTATCGTCGGCTTTCTAGGCAGCATGTCTCGACTCGTTTGGACTAGAGGGGGCCGGGCCGATTGCCAACCAAGCGAACTCAGCCATGCCATGGCTGCCGAGCAACTACTTGATCTAGCTCAACGCCTGTCACGTGAGCTCACAGAGGCCTTCTAGTAAATCATGTTGGTTTGTTGCTCGTGTGGTGCACTACGTATGCACGTTGTGGAGTATTGACCATTGATGCCGTCACGAAGGCTAAAGGCCGACTGTGCGAGGAGCGCAAGCGTTTATCCCAGGTTCGGGCCGGAGATTCCAACAGCTGAGCGAATGTATTGAATTGTTGGCATTATATGTATGATCTGTTGATGTCATTTGATGTCGAAATTAATGCGAATTGATGACTGTCGATGGGAGAAAGTGTGCTCCAGTTCGCAGCCATCTTCCCCAGGCCAGTTGACAGTTGACAGTGGCAGGACAGACAGTTCAGCACATCACACTTTTGTATATCATCTCTAGAGGCCCTTGAAATTCGGTGGAACACCTTCGCGCCCTCATGAAGTGTGCTGCACGAAGTATCATTCCCGCAAGCTTACCTACGGTCAGCGAAGTCGCATGCACATGCACATTGCCTAGGTGTTCAGGCATACACTTACATCAGCCATGGCAAGACTCATGGAATCGTGTGGTGAGTTTGTGCCGGATTCGGGACCGCAGGCCGGGCCGTTTTTCTGATAATGTGTTTGCCACTAATGGGTAGTTTGTATCTGATTGAATCTGTTTTTTCGGGCCACACGCTTGGCCCCCAAGGCACTGATTTTTGATAATCTCTTCCGCGATGACTTGAAGACTCCCGCGAGAACGCAAGTAGGCAATTTCTGGAGAGTGGTCAACGCTGGAGGCCGACTAGACAGGTCCTGGAGCTTAAACATGCTGAACGGCCGTGTTCATATGCTTGGACACTGGGGGTTCAGGTATTTCAGGTATGTCGCTTTAGGTCGAGGTTTCCACGCAGAGGCTTCGTACAAGTGTCGCTGTCAGCCCGAGAGCGTCCGGGCCCACAAGAAACGCCGAGCACCGAGATGATCATCGATTTCGAGGCTACGTCTTCCCAGGTCTCCCCTCCCGACCCCCCCCTCCCCACCCCGCAACAAAGAAGGGCCGGAGCCCAGTCCGTCAGGCAGGGACTTTAAGGAGGCCCGGCCAAGTTCATCTGTCCCTTCGGAAAAGGAGGGTAACCAGGCCTTCGAAACCTCCCCCGCCTATCCCCGCCTTGTATAACTGCAGGAATTTCGGCATGCTGAGGACGACGGGTCGGAGAGACTGAAATAAGTTATGATTCTACTAGTAAGATGGGCCCAGATGGCCCAGCCATTTCCGCAAATTAACAGCATTGACCGTTGTCTTCATCTTAGGTTTTGTTAAAGTTTTTTTGGGCTGAGCGTGGGTTTAACGTCCTCAGCTTCTGAATCGCGCGCGATTGACATCTTGCAGGCAGGCTTGTTTGGCGAGTATAATGAGTGGGCAACGCCTCAGTCATGCGGCCAGAACCAAGCAAGCTTGTTGCATACGACATGAGACCTCCAGTCTGTGGCAGGGCCTTGGTGATCGATTCCCAACTTCTTTGGGGATTGTCATTTGCTCGGTGGCATGGATTGATTTCATTCTGCTGCTTCCTCTGCCTAACAATTCATGCGTCAAGTTACATAGATGGTGCAAGTGTTGCATGTGTTGCAGACACAATCCATGATGTTAGTCTGGGGTCTGCATGGGGAGGTGGTACTGTAAGATGCTGACGACGAGTCTCTGATTTGTATTTCCCTCTGAGACTCCCGCAGCAGACTTGCAAACGCCGCGCGCGGCAGCTTGGGCGAAGGCTATTGCTGTGGGTTGTGCGACCAGTATGAAGTTGCAGAAGTGTCCTTCGCCACCAGATGCTTGTACGTGCACAGTTTGTTCTTCGACAAAGCACATGCTAGCAGGACACTGGGGCCCTCTACGTCTCAGACATGTCGCAACATTGTGTTGGGGACTTAGATGTTGTCTTATGCCGACGACTCGCATAGTTTGGGAGGGAGTCCCCAGCCTTAGAAAAAAGCCCAGACCACCCGTGTCTCGGGTGTGACTGCGCGGGGGGCGAGGGGCGCCAGCGCCAACCCCACCCGCTCGCAGGACGATCGCGAGGCAATAGAATAAGCAGCAGAAGAAGATGAAGAAGGAGAGCTATTCTGGCTCAAGGGGCCAACCTTTTGGGTCCTTCAAGCTGTGCCCAAAGGCCGGTTTCCTGCCTTATTGCTGCAAGGGGAATGGCATAATAGGGGATTGCATCTGGGATCATCTGGGTCACTCTCTGGTCCTTCTGTGGAAGTGCGCCGGGGAGTGGTGCAACACACAGTGCTGACGACACGCTGATGTTATGAAACCCGCGGAGCGGTATCGTGCACGCGCGCCGCCGCTCTCCCTTTCTCTCTCTCTCTCTCTTACTTTGTTTTTCCCCTCTCGCTCTCTCTATCTCTTTTTCGCTTCAATCCCCTGGTCACCGTCGGAGTCGGGGCGTGTAAGCTGGAGGGCGGAGCCAGCCCAGCAGCTGGAGAGAAATGAGCAGATATCCATCTATACCAATTCGGGGTGCCTTGAGCTGGCAGGCGCGACGGGGATGTTACGGTGTATGTGGAGGGCGGAGACACGGTGGTGGAGGGGAGGGGGAGGGGTGGATGGCAACGGAGGTAGTATAAAGTATCTGTTTAGATATTTAAAAATCCGCATGTTTAAAAAGCGTCACCGTACAGGCACAAACCGGACATGTGCCGTTTGCTGAAAATGTCAAGGCCGAGGCCTTGAACCTAGATCACTCTGAAGCCATTTTGCTTTGGAATTTGAAGAAACACGAGCACCCCCACAGTGACACTTGAATCTAACGTACTGAAGTGCCGCGACAAGCATCTGCATAACGTGATGATGTCAAGGCAGCACAAGCTGGACACAACCCATCAGAACCCATCTCAAATAGCCGAGGTTTGGTGCTGCCTGCCTGGCCACGTGCCGCGTGTCGTTGCTGGCCAGAAAGGCCTCCGTGGTGGCAGCGCAGGCTCGCAACTTCCAACAGGAGGCTGGAGAGCCTTTCCAGCGTCACCTGCTGAGGCCCGCCTTGGCCGGGAGATGGCTGTGATGGGCGCCTGGGTGCACTGGACACCTTGATGATCATTGATGCTATTATCACTAGTATTATTACTATTACAATTATTAGTATTATTACTTTTTTGTTACCATTATTATTTTTATTGTTACTATTGTTACTATTGTTACTATTGTTACTATTGTTACTATTGTTACTATTGTTACTATTGTTACTATTGTTACTATTGTTACTATTGTTACTATTGTTACTATTGTTACTATTGTTACTATTGTTACTATTGTTACTATTATGGCTATTATTGCTATTATTGCTACCGCAAAAATTGCCACAGGTACTTCTGCCGACTTCGCGCAGTTACACAATGCTCCCTGTTGAAAGAACTTAAAGAAGCGCATACGCCTGATCCAAAGTCGCAAACACTGACGGGTTCCAACATGTAATGGATCATGCTGGTTAGGTCGGATACTGAAGCATTGCTTGGACATGGCGAGTTCTGGATTGCTCCAACGGGCCATTCTCTTGGGAACCTATGGAACCCGAACACAGGAATACCCGCACGACCTGGCCTTATCGGACGACAATGCGACGCTGTACGTCGCAAGGCTTGCATTGCATACCGTTCGTGGAAGCATTCTGAGCTCGCTGTCGCGCTAGCTGTGCAGGTTTTTTGTGTCAGAGACTTCATAGAGTCATAGAGGTCGTGCCAAGATCCCTTCGGATCTTGAAGAGTTGCGGTCTTCAGCTAGTCCAGCTCAGGTGTGCGAGCTTTATGCAGTGAGGCCATGGCAAGACTGTGAGCCATTCGCACTTTGAAATGCCGTGTGTGTACGATTGGTTTCCTGTTTCGGTGCATTCAACCTAATTACAAGTGAAACTAGAAAAAGGTCTCCATGAGGTCACATGTACGATTGGGTCAAATTGGGTCCCTATAACGGCTGAAGTTGAATCTGTTGCTGATGCCTGCTGCTTTGCAATGCTGGCAGTCATGGCTTCAACAAGGAAAACCGGCGGCGAACCTGTGCAGTGTTGGAGTCACCGCTAATCGATTGGGCATCTTCGGCCTAAAACGATACTGCCTACTTGCAACATGACCAGCCCTGTGAAGCCTTCTGGCCGTTCTTTGGAGCGCAGGGCCCTGGATTTAAAGTCGGTGCCACCAACAATGCGAACCGCGGCCCAGCAGCACTCATGCTCCGAACAAGTCCCTGAGAGAACTCTGGCTGTGCCAGTTTTTCCGAGCCCAGGTGTTCCAAAGTGAGTACGGTCTTGGCGGCATCGCGTTCTCACCTGCCGGACCGTGGCGCGTCACGGAGTCACGGGAGTTGTTGTTTTGTGCTTCATTGGGCATGAAGTCCTGTCACGGTTGACCCATTGTATTGACAAGAAATGCACCTTTTTAATGCGGACCTGTACTGCAGCAGCGCTGTGTCGAATGTGTTGACAGTTGTAGTTTCGACTCGTAGGGTTTTTGTTCTGCCTGCGGCACTACATGCTGAGGTGCCTCATTGTTGCGGTGCACAGTGGGCATGTGCTCTTGGAAGTGCCGCTGAAGGAGTTGGGAGCCCAAAGCTGAGGTTGCCGAAGTCAATCTGGGTCCTAGTTCGCTGGCATGTTCTGAGCTTTGCCGAGCTTGGTCGGGACACGTCTCCATAGCAGCTGCAGAGAAGACTGAAACGGCGCAGGTGTCATGGTATTGTCCAAACAGAGTTGGCTGAGGACAAGACACCACCAATGCTTTGACGGTGTCAGAATCCCGGCTGTCTCTTCTCCTCATGTGCAGGAAACCATGGGTGAATGTTCGGAGTTGCATAGCAGCCGGCATAAGTGACCAGAAAAGTATAGACACACAGTGCTTCGAGCATGTGCGAGCTGCCTAAGTGGGTCCAGCCGCTCAGGACACATGTCGGGGTCCTGCAAGGTCGTGGCGGGCACCGGCCACTCACAGAAATGCTTGTTCCCATCTCTTCCCTCTACTTGAAGTTCCATGTTGGCCATCCGTAAATAGACGTGTGTAGCTTAAATTGAGGCCAGGCTGGCCCTTTGGTGTCCGGTGTCCCAGCACTGCACGCGGCGATCAACAACCCCTTGAAAGTGAAGGCTGCTCGGCTGCTGTGATCAATTGTTGTCCATGGCTGCGGATTGGTTCGTGTCAGCGTTAATAGCCGGAAGTGCTAGTTTCTTTTGTTCAGCACCCTATAGCTCTGTACAGTGCAATGGTTGTCGGATGGCTCCGGCATGAACACCCATGAACACCCTCAACAACCTCAACCATCATTGGAAGGTCTCCAAGACGGGTGACGTCATTTTCTTGGAAGCAGGGCACCTCGGAACCCGGCCTTTCTAGGGCTGAGAGATTTGAATGGGGCTAGTCGGACATAGACAGTTGGGGGGAAGCAGAGGCTCATTCATCCGGAGCAAGAAGCAGAAGAGGTTGAGTTTACGTGGCGCAGGAAGTGGACGTTTTGTAGCCGGCTAAAAATGGACATGCTCCTTCATTGCTCGAGATAATCTAGCTCGCGTAGTTGTTTTTTCTGGTTGCGGAGATCCAGGTGTTGGACGTGTGCTATTACTCTTGCCTGCGACAAGTGACCTCCCACAAAAACATTTGTGCTCCGACGCACGCCGAACATGGTCAGCATGCTGCTGCACCAGGAATCGTGCTTTGCGGATGCTGCAGCAATCCACAGGAAAGCTGATCACGCTGTGACTCGGCCTGCAGAGCCTCGAGGCCTTTGGAAATTGGAATTGTGTTGACCTGTCCAGGTCCTCGGCTGTAGATGCGCCCGACGGCCTGGCGCTGAGCCCTCAAGGTGCCCAGGGTGCCTGGAGTTTACCTGAGGTTACCTGGTGGTTACCTGGTGGTTACGTGATGGTTACCTTGTGGTTATGTGGTGGTTATCTGCTGACCTGGTGGTTACCTGGTGGTTCACGGGGTGCTCGGGAACTTAAATTGCAGCATCACGCCCATACCCCTCCAACATCATCCAATGGTCCCGGAACTTGCAACTCACTCTGCTACCCCGGAGGCACCGCCTTCATCGCGGAGGGGCGTAGCTCCGAGGCAGGAGATAGCAACCAGCCCCTGACCTCGATGCCAGAACAACCCTCAGTTTGATGACGTTCCGACCCTGCGTAGCTTGACTGAACAGATGGCTTTGTCGACGCATCTGTTAAACACCTGCAGACTCAGCCCGCAAGCTTGCGGAAGACACTCCCTGACCCATCGCATCAAGACATGCTCTGCCGGACAGGTTCTACAGTTCCGCCCAAGCACAAGCGTCGAGTGGAACTGGGGCACTTGTGCGGGCACAGGCCGGATAGCCAAGAGCCCTGACCTCTGACAATGTCTCAGGGTATTTTGTCTTAGCATGCCCTAATTGCATGAAAGCGCCCTCCGTACACGGATTCGCACAATCCTAAGCAATGGGTGCCGTGCAGGGGTATGTGCGGACCCACCCAGCCACAGCCTCGTGCCCAACACGGCTGGAATTTGGCCCCCTGGTCCGAATCTGCGGCATTTTGCAACCAAAGTGATTCCGCTGGGATTCTCAACGCACGATGTATGTCGTGACTTCTAAACTTAGAAAGACGAATGCTTAGCGAACAACATGATCATTGAAGTGAAAACAAAGGTAGAGAACAGCAGAATCTAGACTTTCGGACATAAGGCCGTTGGCCTTTGCGCTAGGCATCTCTTTTTGCTGAAGCCCGCTTCGTTGAAGCCGGAAGCCTTGTATATCTTCTGGGATGATCTGAGGCCAGGACTTGGACAAGAGCAGTTCTGCTGGAAGCTTGGAATATGGGCGGGGAAAATGGATACAATAAGCCCCTAAAACGGAGGCGATTCCGGGTTGTGTCATGTTTGCACACGAACCATCATATCTGGAAGGGCACGGGGGTATCTTCCAATTTGTGTTTCTCTAGGCCAAGACGATCTTCGAACCAAGTCTTCGAGCCTGGAGCCGTGACACATGAAGTAAGCCCGGTAGAACAAGAAAACAACATGCACAAGCGCGTGCACACATGCGCGCACACGCGTTCACACTCGCGCAAGTGCGCACGCATGCATGTGCGCACGCATGCATGCACAGACAGAGAGACACATAGACACATCAGATGCGCCCACACGCTCACACACGGAAAAATGCGTGCGATGCCAACATAACGCCCGCAGTTTCACAACAGCTGCCAAATTTTTTGCTACAGAGTCCAACAGATTGACGCTGATTGACTGAAATCTCTTGCATTCGGGTTCCAACGGCTTGTCGCTACTTCGACCGGCAAGCTCGCCAAACCACCCGCAATCGACAGTCCAACAGAATCCAATAGAAGCATCTTGAAAGCTCTCAAAGCCCCTGGCCAAGATGGCGCCGCTTTGGCCACGCCCCTGGCGAGGCCTCAAGGCCTGTGCTGGGTGCCTGGTGCTTTGGCCCCAATTTGCAGGGTTTCGATGGGGTTTTGAGTTGACCTCGAGCGGTACATTGGGATTCCGGGGCTTCATGTCAGGCAGTATTCATGGTGCTGGGGCTTGATGCATAAGCTGCCTTAAGCTGCGCCGCCCCGAGGCCACGGCCTGCTTATCTGTGACGCGCAATGCCATGCAGTCTTCCTGGCTCGGAGGCCTTCTGTGACATCCTGGGTTTCTGCACTGGTTCTGCATTGCAGTGACAAATTTGTGGTATCTCGCGAAGATCGCATTGTCGCCTTGCTTCCAGGGTGGATCCATGGGTTTGGCACCGCACCTCGGCCTCGATGTTACTGCTAATGTTGTTATTGTTACATATGTTGCAGAGAATGCGGGGGATGTCCCAAGAGCTGTACGGAGCTTCAGCAACCATGCTCAATGTGCATCAATGTGTATTGCCATCGAGCAGAAGGCTCTGAACATCTGTTGGTCGTGCTTGGTCAGCGCATTTCACTGCCAAGGGGCAATTGCCGTGCCACGCGCGCTGGCGGCACGGGGCCGTGCTGAACTGCTCAGAGGCGAGGATGCTGAGACTTGGATGCATTCATGAAAGCTCATGGTGAAAGCACAAAAGTGAACCACAGAGAGAGAAACCATGGGGTTGATACCCTCCCCCCCCCCAGGACTCCTCAGGCCACCGCAACGCGTCGGCGCGCAAACTGCACGTGGGTTTCGGCCCCAAGAAAGACAGAAAGAAAGAAAGAAAAACAAAGAAAAGGGAAGAACAATGAATAAAAACAAATACAAAGGTATAACAAGAGAAAATCAGAAAGAAAAGGAAAAAACAAAGAACAAAATGAAGAAACATAAAGAACAAATAAATAAAGAGAAAGAATGAAATAAATAAAGCATGATAGGAAGATAGGAAAGAAATTATTTTGGCTCAAGTCAGGGTGAGAATTTAAAACTGGTGGAGATCGCTTGCACCTCTTCGTGGTTCGTGGCGAGCAGCTTTTTCAGTTGAGGGAGCTTGTCCAGCTTGACTTCCCCGACCATTTGCCGAAATTGTTCTTCATAATATGACTGACCGGTCGGTTTTCCCTTTACTCTCCCTTCTCGACTTTTCCTTCTCCTTGCGCTGTGTTCTCCGAGGCTCGTCCCGGTAGCTGCCTTGATCCATGTCGTCCAGATGTGCCCCTTTCTTGAAGAACCCCCCCCGCCCCCCCACAAAGAGGTCAGGCACAAGATGCCGACTTTTTGTTTCACTGTTCGGAGCAAGGCTTACCCTAACACATGAGGGACAGAAGTTTACCTGAAATGACTAGGTGACTGGAAACTGCCGGTACTGAAAGACGTACACGTATGCATGACTCAATGTCGCGGAGACTGCCTCATAGTCTTTGCCACTCGACTCCCTCCAGTTTAGGGTCCCTCACCTCGCACCTGAAGTTCAGACCCGCCAATGAGTCAAATGAAACACGAACAGACGCACACTACTAGGGGGGGGGGGCCCTCACCAGCTTGATAGGAGCCGGCTCAAGCCTAAAAGTCCGATGCCTCCAGCATAGCACCAGACCACGGGGGAGAAGTCGAAACGCTGAAGAGCAACATGGAGGACAAGCAACCTCCAAAACTTCACGGAGCACTGCGTCCAGAATCGCTCCCAAAGCTCCTGAGAGCGCTGCCACCCCAGAATGGGGACCGGTAGTTTAGCACCTTAACATGGAAACCCCTCGTCCTCGAGGGTCCTGGGTGCTCATGGTAATTTTGGGACACAGAAAGAAGGGGCGAAGAGTTGGCAGTGAAATCTGGAGGACTTTCGCACAACAAGGTTACGAGGATGCCGGGGAGTCCATAAGTGTCAGATGTAAGCGGGGCTTCCAGTGGTACTTGTTCTTGGCCGTGTTGCTTAGGGGGCAGCCGTTCCTGAAAAGTGCGTGAGACATGTGCGACTGGAAGGATGCCGCAGGGTGTTTTGAAACAATAACCTCGCATACGGGGAAGTGTTTGCGTCTTTCATCCTTGCTCATGCTTTTTCTAGACGAGGGTCGCACAGACATCGAACACGGGTGTGCAATTGTGTGCGGGAGTAAAGGGAAGGGGGTTTTCTTCTACTGTGAGAGAGAGAGAGAGAGAGACAGCAATACATAGCCGACGAGGGGATGAACGAACAACGGAGCATGAGAGCCGTGCGCGAGAACAGCATGGTTCCAAGGCCTTTGGATTGTGAGTTTTGCCGAAGTTTACCAAGCAGGAGAGGAACAAACAGCGAGAGAAGGGACAGCCGTGCTGCTTTGCATCCTGTTCGGTGAACAACAGTCGGACTGGTGGCAAAAGACTGTCCCAGAGTCGCAATCGCCTGCAAGTTTCCTCAACTTCGGAGCAGACCGCCCGAATCACAAGGTTCTGGCCTTGCTCCTTCGGCTCCCAGATGAGGACCTGCACGAGTCTGCTCTTTGTACAGGCGTTGCCGATTGTTCACTCAGAAGTGCAGGGGCCCTGCGATTACAACGGATTCAGATTCCCGGCACGGGCTTTCTTCGCTCATGTTCGGCATGTGACAGATGCAAGCAGCCTGCCTGCTGAAGGAGTTTCGCCACGTCCTGTCCTTTTGGGGCGAAGCCGACGGTTTTCTAGCTGGGAGCGAAAAATTCGGATCGTGATGTCTGGCATGCCGTCGAACTCAGGCTGTCTGAAGCCTGCTAATTGAAGATGCTAGGCTTGTAGAGTTGCTGGGAGGCATTGGAGGAAGAGCGGCGAGGCCTTGCAGAGGACTACGGTCTTGGAAATTATGGGAAGGTGGCAGGAAGACTTGGTTTTGACGCGCTATGTGCGAGACCCTTAGGCCATCTCCTATAAACAGGCATGCTCCCAGAGCTGCAGAGACGAGAACAAGCAGGTGCCACAGTGGAATGGCATCTGCACTCTGCAAAGCGCAGGAGCTACAAGGAAGGCAGCTCAGGACCGCCGCACCTTGCAGCTGTCGTTGTACTCATGATGAAGCCGGGATCGACAGAGCATTTGGGGGTGGTTGGCTTCGGGTGCGGACTCAGAGCGGCGCCTATCTCTGCATGTTGGTGGCATAGCACGCAGTCCCCCCCCCCCCCCCACCCCTTTGCATGGCATGTTTGCCGTCCATCGTGCTTTAATCTAGGACTTGCTCACATGAACACATGAACACACTTGCCATCCGCTGCAGTCGCTATGAACCCTTCATAACCCTTCAAAACCTGAGCTGCGGCGCTCCAAGCCGTTACTCTCGGGCAATACTTCAAGTTCCTTTGCAGCTAGCGCAAGCTTCTTCTCAGCTTTTCCTCGGGCACTTCGCTCCTTTTCCTGTCGATGCCTTCGTGCCTTGATGAGCCTTGCCTCCCAGGATCCAAGAGGAGCGAAGTGCACTGGGCTATGACCAGGCTCGCTTTTTTGACCCGTTGCAAGCAAAAGCTGTGTCAGCTTCGTTATACGCTTAAGTGAAACTTCCATGGGCCCTTGCGACGTGAAGCGAAAGTTCCAGGGACCCGAACATCTAGAACGCCATAAACTGCCACAATTCCTTGAACATTTGCGTTTGGCTTCTGGTCCTGCCTGCACACCTCACCGATACGAAATTGTTCTTTTTGTGTGGTTTAGTGCACACAGCTCGGTCGGACTTTTGGGGTTTATCAGGCTGCCCAGTTAGGGCGCGTACAGGTTTGGGCTTATGGACGTGCGGTGCTTTAGGGTTTGTTGGCTTTACAAGGGATGTTTAGGGATTTTGGTTGTTTAGGTAGGCGGGTCTGCACGAGCCGGCGGTTGCTTCGTGCCCCGGCACCCCAGATTGCTCCAGGTTGAAAGAAACCCTACACAACCACAAAATGGCGAAAAAGCAAGGAGGTCAGCCCTGTATGAAGCCGCAGGCCACACAAGATGATGCGCAACTGGTACCCCTTGCCGAATCCGGGTGGCCTTTGTGAGTGCCATAGCCCCACCATCGGAAACCCCACATGCGACGGGCAAACTTCAGAACTGCATTGCAGCCTTTTGGGAGGAGAGGCTCCAGATCCTCACGGCCCACCAGCAGCCCGAGGACGACCTCATCACTCTGCGACTTGGCTTAAGACAAGCGAGCTTTTGGGGCCCTAGGGTTTGTTTGGCGCAGCAACTTCGGCGAGTTCCGGATGGTTTGCTTGCGTTCGCGAGCGGATGTAAATCCCCCTGAGCACCCGGTCCAGGAACGTTGGGGGACAAGTCTTCACAACCAGGCGGTCCACACTCTGTCTTTTCGATGCGACCTGGCGATGAATTGCCTGGGTTTGATGTTGGACTTGATTCTAACAGAATAGGTTGTACCCTTATGCAACATGTAACATGTTGCATGTATATAGAATAGACGACACAACCGGCCCAGGACTCCTACCTCTCCAACCTCTTTTCCGGACGTTGGGAGGCGAGCATCGAAAAGGACAGTGACTGAGCAGCACTTCTGATCATTCTGTGCCTCCAGCTTCGGGCTACCATGGTCATAAGGTCATAGGAGCGAGTTCACAGCATCAGGTGCTGGCCGGTACTTTCTGGACTTCGATCCCGTTTGCTTCCGGCTGTGGCTGGGTTGCTGACTGAAGGGGGGGATGTTACCGGTCTTCGCTCGCTTGGAGAGTCACCGTTCGACAAACTAATTGTCAGGGTTGTTGATCTCTACGCACGGGGAGGGTCCATGTCACCCTTACTGTACTGTATGTGAGGTTTCCCCAACCCTTGTGCGACATTGGCATGTGCCCGTGAATTTAATTGGCTTTCCAGGTTGCTGAACTTCCTCCGGACCAAGCGCCTTGAGAGTCAGCGTGCGCCCTTTCCTCTGCCAAAGGCACAGGAGGGGAGTTGGTTTACGAAAAAGTCATCTTTCCGGACCACAAAAGCCGTGAGCTAACAGCCCGACATCATGAATGTAGGGCCCAGGTGGCCAAGTTCAAGGAACCTGTGCGTGTGGTTCGAGTTGACTCTGGCTTGTTGAAATCCTTGCGAAACTTGTCTCCCACCCTTGCCCTGCAGGTTCCTCCAGAGAAGGAAGAGCAGTTCTGGCACCTGGTAGAGTACTTTGGCCTTATGGAGGCTTTTCAGGAGGCTTGGGAGGGCGGCAGTGGCATTGGCTGAACAGGAGCAATCCTGATCAAGAGTGGCTTGCAGGCGGAGGCAGCGGCCGCTGCCAGCGCCGCTACGCAGCCGAAAAGCGAAGGCGCCGAGGAATTGAAATGCTTCTCTTCAAAGGGCTTTTGCCAGCCACTAATTTATGCTGCATTTCTGCTGCATTGTGCTCATGGTTTATGTGCTCGCATTGAGTTGTATCATTGATTCTGATTCAATTCCCGGGAACAGGGGAGCTCAGGTGGAGATGAGTGAGCAGGGGGATCGAGCTGACTTTAATTCGTGCATCATGCATGCATTTCTACATGTGCAGCTTGTGCATTCTTGAATGTCTGCATGCTTGCACACACGTGCTTGCTCGGCCGCACTCCCTATTCAAGTCTTATGTGCCAGACGCAGCCACTTCGCAGCCGGCGCTGCTGAGTGCCTCGCTGATTCAGCCGCTTGGCTTGTTTTTTTCGCACGTCGAGAGAAGCGCCCTCAGTTCGTCACACCACCATGCCGCCTCCACATGCTGCGGTTGGAACCCCCGAAGCGCGCACGAAAGCCTGGACTGACCTCGTCGCCCAACTTCGGCTACGTCAATGAGTGGCAGAACATGACACAACAACTTGGGCTGGCAGCCTTTTCTCCAGGAATTTCAATACTACATATGACTACCGTGCTGTAGCATCCGTGTCAACTTTTTGCAGCCATGGCCAGTAGTGTTAGAAATCCCGCTCCGTGCATCCCTGAACACCCCGATTCTACAAGCACCTTGCAAGCCGCCACGAAGACCTTGACCTGCTTCGGAGGGGCCCGGGGCGCCCCAGGTCTGCCGGCGCCCTGATCCGCACCCTCCGCCAGGTGCATGGCTTCGGATGGTAATTTAGTGAGAATAGTGAAGTAGAATGTGTATGGTAAGGTGGGGATCTCTGGCGCGGACTGCTGATTTCCAAAGCTTTCTCTCAGACAAATGCTGGGAGAACTCTCGTGAACTGGCGATGCATTTGTAAGAGTCGGAGCATCCAGAACGGCTACTAGGTTGGATTCTGGCATGCCCGACTTCCTGAAGCATACAGGCTTGTAGCTGTTCCTGCCGACCCCATTGGTGCAAGGCGTGTAAGCGCACGAGGCTGCTTTGCCTGGGGATGCCGTAAATCAGTCGCGAACATGTCAACAAAGGTAGACATTATGCAGTATTGCCCGTGCCCTAGCGGCTGGGAGCCTAACCCAGGCCTAACCTGAATGTTCTGAACGCTGACAGTTCGGGATAGTTCGGGCTTGCGGCTTGTGTGTCGCAGGCAGCCGGCGAGGCTGCACCCCGTCAGGCTGAGGCTTGCAGCGATCCGCAGTTCACAGGCTGTGCGCTTTTGAGAGTTTCTTCAAGCATCCGTGGATCTCTTTGAAAATGCAGCAGAAGTCAAATTTGGAAAGCTGAAAGACGTTTAGTTGGAAACGAAAGGTTGCTTGACATTGCCTTAGCCTTGTTCCATAGATCCCTGCATTGGCAGAGGAGCGTGCGCCCACGCCAGAGTTGGGACGCAGCTTGGCCGCGTCAGAAGGTCCCAAGTTGAACTCAAAGCTACCTCAGACGTTTCGTTGCCCCCCAGCAGGCTTGGGCTGTGTAGGAGGACACTTAGCAATCGGCTCGTATCGCTGGAATCTGTTTGGGCCAAAGCTGAAATTACGGCACCATGAAAGTGCTGCCGAGGACAAAGTCTCGTCCCAGATATGTCCGCTGCTCCGGTGCCTGAAGCAGTTGCGGCCGAGTCGCAGGTCCTTTCCCTCGACTCAGGGTCGGGAAGGATGCGACTATGAATTAATTAGCGGAGCCTCTTGGATGTCATCGGCCAGTTGGTCCCTGTCAGACCTGGTCAGTGTTGCACAACGGCACGCTGGCAAGCGACCCATAATCGCTTAGTCGTAGTCGTGCTACCCAGTAGGCATCTTGCACAGTGTCCTTCCGCGATCAGGCGCGGCAGAGAAGAGTCTGGTACTCAAATGTAGGACCTGAAGAACTAGCCTCTACACGGAACTGTGGAACGTGAATCCCCAAAACACCCTATCTAGCCGAAGAACGCAAATAAGAAACTAATCCGAAAAATTGAGGAAAGTTCAAGTGCTACCAGGCTCCGGCAACCCTGCCGACAGGCGGATCAGGCGAGCCCAACCTCCCGCCAGCCGAGGCCCCTCACCACACAGTGAGGAGTCGGAAAGAACGGGGTACACACAAGAAAGGATAGGGATCATTGGTTGGCGACCTTTCACCCCAGATATTCTGTCAATGACAGCTGGAGACATACGAAAGTGATGTGATTCGATGACAGGACTGGACGACTGCCATATTTTCGGGTTCTGTGTCGGCTGTCAGCACTTGCACTGCCTCCCGCGAAGTGTCGGACCGTCACGTATGTGCACAGCCTGTCGTACTCAATGCGCAGGTGGCTCCAGCCGCTTCTTTTCTCGCGGCGGCAAGCCAGGCACTTGCGGACTTACTGGGCCACGGTCATTGTGGTAGATGAATGAAAATTTACCTTGCACTCGCATTCTAGATAGGGCATGCCGGAGTTTGAAGTGGGACAAAGGCCTAGACTCTGTCATTTTTTGGGTTTGCAGCGAACTTGCAATGCCTGAGTGCGAAGGTCCCCCGTTAATATTCTTTTACGAAATCTTTCTGTCAGAGAGGATTCGCGATTTTCCTCCTTCCTCAAAGGTCTTACTGTCTTACCTTTGTGCCGCCTCAGCCATCCACTTCTGCAACCTCGTCGGCCAGAACTCCTGGCTGGTCCAGGCGAGGTTCCGCTCTTCCTGTCGGGCTGTGGGCTGTGAGGAGGAGTTCGATGTTCCAAGTCTGAATGTCGCCCAGGCCCCTACATTCGCCCAATTCCGCCCAATCCCCTTCGACGCATCAGCCCTTGGAGGAAAGTCGCCCATCGGCTAGCGACGGTGGAGGAGTGCGGGACTTCTTGGCTGCTCAGCAACAGAGAATCTTTACAAGAGAAACTTGTGGAGCGACGTATGGAGACTCAGAACTCCAGGGCTTGCTTCCGTTGAACCGACGGTGTGCAGCTTGGCAAGGAGGATTCCACTACCCTCCACATCAGCAGCTCAAGGCAGTGAGTAGTCATTGCATGGCGTTGCTGTTGCGTACGCTTGCTTCTTGTACCTCTTCAGCTTCTCGATTTTTAAACGAAACTGACTGAGTCGAATGACACATCTTCTCAGTGACCAGATCACATCATGCACCGCCTGCTACAAGCTATGCAAGTCTTTATCCAGCTGAAGTTGTCCATGGTTTGGGTATGCCCCAGTGCTTGGAAGGACCGTCTAGAATTGCTTGTCCCCTTGGGCTTTACTATCTCGTGCAGAAGCAGACATGCAGCAACTGCATGAACTCCAATGTCCGGACTTTCTTCGCAAGCCCCTACCGGCACAACAGATCTCGGCCTGTCGATCGGCACTCTGCAGCAGGCAGAACTACATACATGCTTGATGCTCAGGGGCATGGATGCGCTAGGGAACGGGGGTAAGATGTGGCAAGTCGCAGCCGTCAGGTATGCCAAGGAAGGGACAATTCCGAAACTGAAGCCCAGGACCCAAGAACGGCTCACCAGAAATGGCACTCTGCAGCTCTCCAAAACTTGCACATTTCGTTTGACAGAGACGTGTCCCTGCGTCTTGCACCCGCTTGCACATTGCACAAAGTCGATCCTTGGACCTGCTCCGTGCTGTCGAGAGTGTGACAGAGAGATAGAGAGAGAGAGAGAGAGAGAGAGACAGCGAGAGATGTTGACCCACCTTGAAAAGCGTCGATCCGTCCTGGCTTGTCCCCTCTTACAACCTGATGACGTGATGCTCAGCATCTCACCCACTGCGCCGCGACCGAAGCACACTTCGGTGCGTCCCCCTCCGGGCTATGCTGCAGAGAGAGAGAGAGAGAGAGAGAAAAGGACGACAGAGACAGAGGATAGAGAAAGAGAGAGAAAGAAATTCAGAGAGAGAGAGAGAGATAAGCGGGCGGTCCTCCCCAACACGGCGGGGGGTCAGGTGCGCAGAAAGACAGAAAGAAAGAGAGATAAGGACCATCTCGTAAGGGGAAAGCACGTGGACCCCAGCCTGGAAGTTGTGGGTGACCTAGCGAGAATGGGGGGCTACGGGGTCTTCCAAGCAGAACGGGGGAAGTTTCACGCGGCTGGCCAAACCTCGGGGGTACAAGCTACCTGCACTTAGCCAAGGAGCGGGCGTTCCTGTGCTCCGGATGTTATTTCTTTCTCATATTGTTCCTTTTCTTCTTCTGCATAGGGGTGCCCCCCCGCGCTCTAGGCGCGCCCGAGGGTGAGTTAGGTCCGGTGATACCACAACGATTGCTCCTTACTCGGTTGGGCGGGTTGCCCCGAGAAAAAAGAACGAAAGACAAAGAAATGAAGATACAAAAAGAGGAGAAGAGTAGAAAACAAAGAAAAGAAAGCAGGAAGCTACTTGAAAACAAAAGAAAACACAAAGAAAAACAAAGACAAGAAAGAACAACATGTGCCGCATGCAGCCTTAGCATCGGCGAGAAGTAGCGACAGTAAGAACAATTCCATATCTGCCCCAGCTACAGTACCAGCACTGTACTGGTAGTACGTAAGCATTGCCGCTACTTCACCCGTCGTCCTCAGGGCCGCGGCCTCGGCCGCGGCAGCCCGAGCCTCGCGGGGCTTCCGAGCAGGGCGCCACGCCTGGGAGGTCAAGGCACGAGATTTTGGGGACCCCCTGACGAAACCTCACATAACACAACTCACTTCTAAGCTCACTTCTGATTTTTTGTCTCCTGGACTCGCTGCAGACCATCGTATGGACCCAGCTCGCTAGGACGGTGAAGGATACAGGCCGCTGGCATGCAGACATGATTCCCTCAGCTGACATATTGGCAGGTTCTGCTTTGCTCAGACTGGTGCTGGCCCTATCTGTGCCAAACATGGTTGGTTGCTGTAAAACTGTGCCCCCCTTGCAAGCCCCATTGTGCTGTAGCATGGTCGCATGAAGTGCAGACACATCGTGGGAGATCCCGCGCGTACAGTCCAAATCCATAGCACGCCGGTTCAAACGCCACAACTCTGAGATGCATTTTGTTCTGTCTTATGTGCCACGGACCCTGACACAGGAAGGCTACAACAGGCCAGAGTGGAGAGACTGTTTGGGCGCCACCAGCTACTGCAGGTCTTACATCGGCTTTGTTTCTGATGACCAGCACTCAGTCCGTGTAGGCAAGTGAGCCTGCCAAGCTTTCCAGATAGGGCCGGTATGGGCTCCAAAATCACAGGGCACCACAGGATGCCACGGTAATTGCCGAATTGCTCTGAGAATGTGACACATGAAACCAAGACACCATTCGGCAAGCAGTCTCGCTGCGATCAAGGAGTGGTGCTCCCTCACGGTTCCCATAGGCCGTGCCGAGCACTCATGGGGCCTTGCCTCCGGCGGGGACGAGCACTCAGAGCTCAGGGTACAGCTTGTGGGCAAGCGTTCCGCCCTTGTGTGATTCTCTCCTGCCAGCCGCACATGGGGCATTTGTAGCGACATTTGGAGACAAACGAGTCGCAAATGAGATCGGTCAGTATCCTTTGCAGCCTGTACCTTCGGCCCAATGGTACTTGTCGAAGTTCCAGAAGAAGCGCGCTTGCTTCAAGGCCCTCTTTGCCGGTGGCCGGGAGGTGGGGCGAATTGAGGCTCAGCTCTATATCGGCAACTGTGGCAATTGTTGTCATTATAGCTGGCGTGCAGCAGTCTCCTTTTCACGCCCTTTTGTCCGAAGCATTCCGAAACAAACGCAAGCAAGATGCCTTTCACACAGCCAAGCGCGGCTCGTACCACTTACCAACGCGTCTCATGCCTTTGGCAGATTGCAATTTGAAGCACAATCAGCGCTGTTAGTCAGAACTATCGGCATCATCAGCGAAGCTTTGCAAAGCTGCTGTGTTTCAAACGTAGGGCATGCGTTGTTGTGCTTCATGTCGTGCAGGGTTATGGGCTGCAGAGCTGCTTGAGATGGGCTTTCGCCCCAGATTGCAATTCCAGATCAGAGCTTTGTCACCCACGTAACCCTGTTGAAGGCAGTTGTGAGATGCTTTGGGGGGATGATGCTGCCATGCTGTGCATAACAGAGGAAACAAAGCCCTAAGCCGACTTCGCGAGGTTGTTGACATGGATACTCGGACTGCGTCGGCCAGGGGCACAGGCGAATCAGAAGTCGAACATTAAGAACATCTTGCAAACATGGAAGGCTGAGGACTCGACTTTCGAGTCATGACTCAGGGAAAGGGACAGTGATTGAAGGGCCCCACGGGAAGGCAGAGCATAATTGTGCAACAAGCGCTGCAAAATCTTCATCCGATGCATGGTGCTGCCCTTTGCCCTGGTGACGGGAAACGTGAGTAATGGTGTTATTAGTATGAGCAACACGTCCTTGTTGCCGAAGCGAAGCGGATGGGACCACAGCCCAGAACCGGAACTCGCTACCTCCTGAGGTCGCCGTCGATGGCCGTGACTTTGTCGAGGCCTGTGTCCGGGAAAAGGGTCCTCTCAGAAGGGCCTGGGCCAGCAACCGAAAACCCAGAGAAAGCAGCTTTGAAAGGCAAATCACCTGCAATGCCGAGGTGTACTGGTGGCTTAAAGGTGTAACGTTCCAGGTGTAACGTTCCTTTGCGATGCTGCATGTGAAGCAAAGTTCTTTGCTGTGCGATGCCCTCTTCCGGTTCCTGGTTGGCGGTTAGCTGTTGCATGATTGTCCGCCCACATCGATATAAGAAATGCCTGCTCGGAAACTGATGTGTGCGAACAGTTCTTGCCTGCAGAGAGGGGGA